GATCGTGTTTGCAAAGCGGATCGTGCAGATTGTGTTCTGGCAACCCACAGCAGTTAATTTGCCTTTGACACGAACGCGCGTGCTAAAAAAAAAACAGAGATCCGCAGACATGAAGAATATGTAAAATGATGTTGACCTATCTTTTTGGACGGTCGAAAAATCTTATTAAAAAGGGGGTTAACGTAAATCTACAAAGCTAGGTCTGTGTTGGGTCTAGCAACTGCGTGCGTACTTGCTTCCACCGTTATCGCCCCGGCCTTTTTTGTCCCCCCTTTACGTTCAGAGTCGACAGCACTCTACTCTTTGGTTCTATTCGGTAAAGTCACGTAGGTAAAAAATAAAATAACAAAAATCACGACGTTTCGGCCACAACACAAGTGGCCTTCATCAGGTGAAGGGACCGTGCTGTCCCTTCACCTGAAGGGACCGTGCTGTCCCTTCACCTGATGAAGGCCACTTGTGTTGTGGCCGAAACGTCGTGATTTTTGTTATTTTTTACCTACGTGACTTTACCGAATAGAAGCAAAGAGTATGGATCCTTGCAGTCACGAAAGCTTCAAATCTAGAATCGACAGCACTCGTTCAGAAGTATTTGGCTGCTGCTCTCCATCGCCACGCGAGGACCCACTTCGCTTGAGCTCGCGTTTGTTTCCAGGTCGCTTCCGAAAACGAACCAAGTAGCTCGAGCGGATCTTTATCCGGTAAAATAAAACGTGGTTTAGTTTTGTGGTTTACTCCCGACAAATGAAATGTGCTGGCGTGTTGGCTCTCGATTGTACCACCAGGGCATTGCGGTGTTCGAAATGCCATCTTCAGTTCTGGCACGTGGAGGTCTGAGGCCAAAATCAAAGAGCTGAGTCCAGGTTTAAAACCACTCGTCGTGTTGTCGCTGAGCATTGCGGGTAATCGCATGCACACATCAATAGGATGTTTGCCAACATGCCGCTGTTGTACAACGGAAGCTATTTTTGCGGTGGAAAAAAAAATGTCAAATGCGTTGATGCATACCTCTCACTGTTTAAAGTAAAGAGGATTTGTTTTTTAAATCCCTGATTAATAGTGGGAGGGCTAAAAACGATGCGCCCGATATTCTACCAAGTGGCGAGGGGGGGTGCGATGCCCCCCCCCCGTCTCCTTTGAAATTTCCTTTACAAGGGAAATCTTGGGAGGACGTGTGCCAACTTCGCGTAAGGGTTGTAGGATCTAGCAAAAGGAAGGAAGTGATGGCAGGGTGCGGTAGTGTCAACAGCATTTGGCCACGATGGCTTCCTTTGTTCGTGAACTACTTCCGGCACCCCCCCCCCGCCCCCCCGGTGCATGCGAGGCACGCTTCGGTGCTTGTGTCGAGAGGAGCACCGCGAGGACCCGGCGAGGGGCGAGCGCAGAAAGAGGGGCGGAAAGGGAGGAGCCCCGGAACAAGTGATGGTAGAAGGGGGACCGAGAGGGCAGAGAGGAGAGGGGGGAAGTTGGGGTGGAGACGTCCAGGGGGGGGAGTGGGGAAAAGGGGGGGGGGGGAGACGTGAAGGGTAACCTCGGGAGAGAGGAGAGTGAGGAAGGAGACAGTGGACGGGGGCTAGCGAGTGCCCGCCCGCGGGTGGAAGTGTGGAGAGAGAGAGAGAGGGAGAGAAGGAGTGCGAGTGGAGTGGAGGAAGAGGAGTGAATAAACGGCGAGCAGCCCCTGAATAAGGATCTGGTCTCCGTGCGGTGATTCGGCAAACACCCGGGGTGTCCAGAAGTCGTATTCTACACTTGTACCAGCGTGGTCCGGATGTCTTGCGACCCCTACCGACCAGTCCCATTTAAGTCACATTTAATCGTCTGAAACGTAAACAAAATAAAAGCAAGGTTTATTTAAAACAGAAATTATTACGCAAAAGGAAAAAAAAATGTTACGGGCTCAATTATTTGGGGGGTGGTGGGCGGGGGGGGTCACAAGACATTTGGACCACCCTGTATAATTGCCCCGTTGAGTGAGCGCTGCGGGGTTCTCTTCAGAAGGTGCAGTCGGTGAGGGGTTCCTGTCCCAGCGGCCGGCAACCAAAATAACAAGAAGAGACATCTTTGACGAATTCTGTAATAGATAAAATAAAAAAGCGAAATATTTCAAGAGCCGCTATGTCTGTATGTACATTGAACTTCTTGAACTTCCTTTGCACCATACGCAGCCAACCGCGCTTATCGGAGATGCGCGGGGAAAGGACGACAAACGGGACTCAAATCAGTTTTAAAGAGGTGACTTTTCAATCCAGATGATCTACAAGTTCGCAGCTCCAGTAGCATTCTAATATCGGATAGGAAGAACGTTCCAGGCGGCCGCAGAAGCGCCTTGCGTGTTTGTTTTGTTGTTGCATTTTGAAGGCGAATGAGAAATCTCCCCACCCTCCACCCGCTGACGCGCGTGCCTTGCCAGGGGCAACCCCCGGGCAGCTGTAGCGGGTCGAGGGAAATAATTAAATAATGAGGAATACCACTCAATTGTAAATTTAACTTCACTTTAAAGTTTGACGGGCGGGGAAACAAAATAGCGCTGGCTCACCGCGGTTCGCGAGCCAAATACCTTGGCGAGTTGCATCCACACAGAGACAGACGGACAGACAGACGAAAAAAATGCCTTTTATAGTTAAGAAGATAAATGTTGCAGTATTCACACTGGGAAAGCTCTGTGATCTATGCAGAATTGGCCCTGTGACATTTACATTAAGTCTGCTACATGATATTTAAAATGTGTGGGCGGTATGATATTTAGTTTTGTTTTGCTCATTATGAGTGTGGCGTAAACATTGGAACATACAGTGAGGGAAAAAAAGTATTTGATCCCCTGCTGATTTTGTACGTTTGCCCACTGGCAAAGAAATGATCAGTCTATAATTTTAATGGTAGGTTTATTTGAACAGTGAGAGACAGAATAACAACAAAAAAATGCAGAAAAACACATGTCAAAAATGTTATAAATTGATTTGCATTTTAATGAGGGAAATACGTATTTGACCCCTCTGCAAAACATGACTTAGTACTTGGTGGCAAAACCCTTGTTGGCAATCACAGAGGTCAGATGTTTCCTGTAGTTGGCCACCAGGTTTGCACACATCTCAGGAGGGATTTTGTCCCACTCCTCTTTGCAGATCTTCTCCAAGTCATTAAGGTTTCGAGGCTGACGTTTGGCAACTCGAACCTTCAGCTCCCTCCACATATTTTCTATGGGATTAAGGTCTGGGGACTGGCTAGGCCACTCCAGGACCTTAATGTGCTTCTTCTTGAGCCACTCCTTTGTTGCCTTGGCCGTGTGTTTTGGGTCATGGTCATGCTGGAATACCCATCCACAACCCATTTTCAATGCCCTGGCTGAGGGAAGGAGGTTCTCACCCAAGATTTGACGGTACATGGCCCCGTCCATCGTCCTTTTGATGTGGTGAAGTTGTCCTGTCCCCTTAGCAGAAAAACACCCCCAAAGCATAATGTTTCCACCTCCATGTTTGACGGTGGGGATGGTGTTCTTGGTGTCATAGGCAGCATTCCTCCTCCTCCAAACACGGCGAGTTGAGTTGATGCCAAAGAGCTCCATTTTGGTCTCATCTGACCACAAAGGATTTGAGTCCTTCACGACGCAGTGTGTTACCAATTGTTTTCTTGGTGACTATGGTCCCAGTTGCCTTGAGATCACTGACAAGATCCTCCCGTGTAGTTCTGGGCTGATTCCTCACCGTTCTCATGATCATTGCAACTCCACGAGGTGAGATCTTGCATGGAGCCCCAGGCCGAGGGAGATTGACAGTTCTTTTGTGTTTCTTCCATTTGCAAATAATCGCACCAACTGTTGTCACCTTCTCACAAAGCTGCTTGGCAATGGTCTTGTAGCCCATTCCAGCCTTGTGTAGGTCTACAATCTTGTCCCTGACATCCTTGGAGAGCTCTTTGGTCTTGGCCATGGTGGAGAGTTTGGAATCTGATTGATTGATTGCTTCTGTGGACAGGTGTCTTTTATACAGGTAACAAGCTGAGATTAGAAGCACTCCCTTTAAGAGTGTGCTCCTAATCTCAGCTCGTTACCTGTATAAAAGACATCTGGGAGACAGAAATCTTTCTGATTGAGAGGGGGTCAAATACTTATTTCCCTCATTAAAATACAAATCAATTCATAACATTTTTGACATGCGTTTTTCTGGATTTTGTTGTTGTTATTCTGTCTCTCACTGTTCAAATAAACCTACCATTAAAATTATAGACTGATCATTTCTTTGTTAGTGGGCAAACGTACATAATCAGCAGGGGATCAAATACTTTTTTCCCTCACTGTAGCTGGGACAAATGTATTGCACATTGAAAGACAGTCACACATAATGGTTGAATGTTTTTTTTGGTGCAATTAGTGCTGATTGTGGTGTGTGTGACATTTTATGTCTGTCCTATGTGTCTTGCTACAAGCTGGTATTCTGTTATGCATCATGATGTCTAGGCGTGTCGGTCATGGGGCGTTGTATGATCATGCTTCACCATGCTGGTCAGTTTGGGTTGATGAAGAGATCTAATTTTATCTTGCCTCTCACTAAGTATCTCACTGATGATGGTGCCCCAATCCAGGAGAGCTCCTTAGGTCCTTAAAGGTGTCACGCTTCATCGTCATGTCGAAGCAGTCACGGGACCTTCTGTGAGATGGGGAGGCCTTCATTGAGCAGTGGATAAACCATGGCTGATGATGAACATGAAATATGGCATGAACCACATTCACATTTGTTCTGCTGCTGTGCTTATGTTCTTTGTTCAGTGTTTGTGTCGCGTATGTTCAGTCTGCGTGGTGTTCTGTGTGCCCAGTCTGTGTGTTGTGCCAGTGGTGGGACCCACTGTCTAATTCTTCCCCCACTTCTTCGTAATGGGGTGCCTGCCCCCCTCTGGCTCTTGGGTCCCGGTACAGTTGCACTGTTTGCACACTCGATAACGACGCCACTGTGTTGTGAAGTGTGTTCCTATTATACGATCTGCACGTTGGGTTTTCTGTGTTGCAGTCACTGGAAAGTACTCGTCGAATGTTACAGCTGGTGGATGAGGTGAGCCAGCATTTATTCTTCAGCACAGCAAACATCCTCCTTCTTTTGTGGAACTGTATCTAATATTTTCTTAAGGCAGGAACATTTACTCCATGTAAATTGTATATGACATGTACCAAAGTTTAAAATCATACCACAAGGAAACTGTGACAGATACACTTATGGGTTTTATGACATAAAGGATTTTTAAAGATTAATGACAGGTAATTATTGAAGCAATGCAATGTGACTCTAGGTGAATGTTTGCATATAATATGAAAATATAATTTATACAGATGTTTTTTTTTTAATAAGAGTGAAGCCCTCAATTTGTTTTCTTTTGCAACTAATTAAATTTCCGGAAATCATTTAAGAGGGTGTAATGGCAGTTGTTTGGCACCTTACACTGTGGAGTATTTTTTAAAAATATATAACAATATAGTTCTTCTCACATTCATGCTCACTTTAAAATCATTGGAATTACAACAGTATAGCATTTATTTATTTTATATTTGGTTCAAATCTAATGAATGATTACATCATTCTGAATCTTCACTAAGCCTGCACTTTACTGAATGCTCACAGTGTCCATAGAGCTGGTACATTTGGAAGCTAATTTCCGGAGACTCGTCACAGAGGCAGCATTGAAAGGAGCATTCTCAGATTACAACTTACAATAAAGATCTCACAGTCGGACGTCTCAGCTTGCGTTAAAGCTCAAGTGGTAATGCCATGGCGATCATTTGTTTCATTCGAGAGAAATTAATGTGATTCATGGAGGTGGTGACCCAGTTTTCCTGAGAGTGAAACCACAGAGACCAACCAATAGATCTCACTTCCGAAGCTGGGAGTGATGTTGGGGGTTTAAGCATACGGAATGCGCGACATTTCATCCGGGCCGCATGTGGCAATACAGCAGTTGTTTTTAATAAAAACATTATGAATCATTCTCATTTATTCCCTAAGCTTCTGTCCCTTGTGTTCCTTGTAAATTAGAGCAAAGAAGCTGGCATAAGGACACTGGTAATGCTGGATGAGCAAGGAGGTAAGACGCTGCACATTAAGCATGGTGCCAAGACACTTCCGTAAGAGTCCATGAGACCAGGTGTTATTTTTACAAAATAAGTTGAATTGTTTGAAGGGCGAGCGTGCAGTGTGTTCTGAGTGATCTGATTGAACTCTGGACACAGCGAAACCGTGAATATTGTTTTCAATCAGAATGGAATGTTTATGTGATCTGGTCCAACAGTTTACCTCGGTTAGATATGCCATATGTTCACAATGCATGTGTTCTGAAGATGTATTCATGTTATTGACATATATTTAGAGAATCCGTGATGCACACCTGATACAGAGGTAGGGTAGATGACGTAATGTGAGAACGTTGTATAAGCCAATTGACATGTTATACTTTATCTCTCTTGAGAGAGTTATATATGTATATGATTCAGTTGACACAATATCTAGTCAAATTATTTTGACCAGAAATCATACATGGCACAGGTATGCTTCCTTATAGGAGGTATTCTAAAACCGCTATATTGGTCAAAACGCTTTTGAAGTACAGAATTATTGAACGTAATAATAACACACTTGTCGCTGCCTTCAACAAAGGCAATTGCTGAACACATTATTATTTCATTGTGGTTTCTTTATTTGCCAGGCAGTTATTTTCAGAAATGATTACATTGCCAAATTATTTTTAATCGTAAAAAAACGTTGTTTTGGATTAGATCGCGTACATTTATAAATTGGTCATTAAACCCTCCACCACCCGACACAGCCAATTAGTAAGGTTTGTCACGTAAACAGAACATGCCAATTCGTTACAAGTTCAAAACACCGGTGTGTTGGAGAGCCAAGCCACAACGTTGACAATCTGACACCCCGGTGTGCTGTACTAGTAAAAAAAATTGGCATGTTCTGTTACGTGACAAACCTTACTAATTGGCTGTGTCGGGTGGTGGCGGGTTGATATATTTACGATCTAACCCAAAAAACCTGTGTTATGGATATTGGTCGCGAAAGCCTATGTATGAAAATATTTTCAACTTGTGCTTTTACTTTATTGCCAATACGGTCCTTTAAATTCAATTTTAGCTGTACAGTGCTGTACACATATTTGTACACACAGTTGGCAAGAACAAATTTCTATTCGCTTAATATCGTAATATTTGCCCAGCTTTAACGGAATTTAAAGAGTTCCTGCTTATTTCTCTAACAGAACAGCTTGACAAGATTGAGGAAGGCATGGACCAGATCAACAAGGATATGAAGGAGGCCGAGAAAAACTTAACAGATTTAGGGAAATGCTGTGGCCTGTGCGCGTGTCCGTGTGAAAAGTAGGTACTGGCCCACCTCGTCTGAGGGCCTCTGTGCATAATTGTGTGTCACGCTCATCCCGTGCTCTGTCTTTGGCATGGTCTTAAGTCTGTACTTGTGTTTTGGTCTTTTCTTTTCCCCTCTCCACCCTGTGCCCTCAATTTCCCACCTGCACTCATTCAACCATTTTATGTAAGAACAATTGGAGCATACCGAGCAAGGCATGGATGGGATCAATCAGGATATGAAGGAGGCAGAAAAAAACTTGTCAAGTGTAGGAAATTGCTGCGGCCTGTGTGCCCTATGCCCCTGTGAAAAGTAGGTCTGAGCAGGCGTGGTTTGTTATTTAAACCATAAACTAGATGAGCCTAGTTCCGTATCTGCTTTATAGGTCCTTACCATGCCCCCAGACATGTCTTGGCATGCCTGGCCATGCTGGTCTGTAAAGATAAATATATTGCATGATCAGTTGGGTATACATTAGCATAGAGCTGCTGTACCCTCAAGCTTAAAAGCATGCTGTGGCAATACACTGTCATTATCCATGATGCTACACACGTGGTTTGTCATACATGTTACATTTAATCTTTTATTCTGCAAACATTTCCATTCCAGTGTGTAGTGCATGATGCGTGACTCTGACAGCTGTCAACAAAATCAGTAAATCGGTCAAAATCTAAGAATGTTTTATGCCCGTGTGTTGTGCAGCTTATAATGTTATCAAATTAGTTGACATGTATGACAACGCTTCTGTGGAATGCCTGGATTTAACATTCACCAGTTGTCAAAAAAAGTATACTTTTCTTTTTTACAAAAATATCTTCTTGTGAATATTATGACAATATTTTTGGCATTTGTGGACAATTAAAAAATAAGATCAGATTTTAGTAGTGTCATTAAACCCACAAAATAACTGCTGACATCACCAAGGCACAGTTTAATGTTGAGCTTGGTTAGACATGTGTGCTTCTCTATAGACCCCTCTTTACTTTGTTGAACATTATTAATTATTACAAATGGTGATTTGTTAATATCAGCGTATTTTTGTTGCATTTTTATGTAATGTCCTTGCTGCACAATGTATGTTCTACAATTATTCAAGTTTGTTGGGAAGGCCATTGCCTCCACAAAGTATGAATACCATCATAAATAACCTATTCAGTTGCTCTTTATGCATGTGTTGAGGTGTAACTGACGACGCAGACACGGTTCTTGGGTAGGGGTGGATGCCAAGGTTTATTAAGGGCTACTGCCAGTAACTTATTAAAGGCTTACGCCTAACAGGTGACAACCCTAATATCTCCCCAGGGGAAGGGTACTGGGAGGTCCCCAGCTCCACCCAGGCTAGACGTGATCTTCCCCCAGCACGGACCGAGGGATTATCCAACTCGGTCGGCCGGGTGAAGTATCACTCTCGCCTGGCGCTGATTCCCTCTACCCTGGATCCCGACTCCCTAACTCTCTCCGTTCCTGGCTCTTCGCGACGACCCCCTTTACGTCACGGGTTCCCCCTTATATCCCCCGTGACCTCTGACGTCATCCATTCTCACCCCCCTGAGTGACATGACGTCCTCCACTACTCGTCTACACATGGAAAGACGATATGGGTTGCCACTGAAGTTGCCTTTGTATATCGTCTTGTCTGCAAGTAAGGCCATGCTGGGCTAACCCGCAGCCTGTTGTAAATTACTTACTTGTCATCTCTGACTTGTATACTGCATTGACGTATTTATGTATAGTCCCTCACTTCATTTCCACGTTTACCGTGTATTCTTTTGATCCTGTCATTCTTATTTGAAGTGAAACATATTTTAGTTTGGTACTAATTCGTAAATGTACTTGCAGAACTGCATTTTTACATCTATCTTCCTTTAGGCATTAATGTACTTTTTTCCCCAACGTGGTTCCAAGAATAAATCATCTGTAATGCATGATGTATAGCAGTAGACAGAGGTTTTCATTATTGTAATTTGTGTCTGCAATCCGTAACTACATGTCCACACATGTATACATAATTTCAGCAATGAAAACAAATCGGTTATGCTTCACTTCACATTGTATCAGCATCACAACTTTGGCTCTTAACTGCAGCTTCCAGTTGCACCAACTCGAGTTCTGCATTCCTCGTGTATGTGCGTGCCAGTTTGCTGAATATGCTCATGTCATAATCATTGTTATTCCCTTAGTAGTTAGCATGGTTTTTTTTCCCACCATGTGTGAGCGCTTAATTAAAGAAAATTCCCTCCACAGAAACTGCACACTGCTGTTCACACCCTTGCAATGCTGCCCATTGTGTCCGGTGTCCCGCGAGTAACATCGGTGTTGTAAAAAGGGTGTTTCTCAGTTCTGAGTGAATTCACCTTTCAGAATCCTCTATTTGAGGTCACTTACAGTTACCTACTCGTCATCCATACCAGACAATTGAGTAATTATTTGAGGCAGAGGCTTGGTGTGATGGGGGGGGGGGGAACACCGATTGCATGGTGATGTCTGTGTCCCCCTCAGCTCAATCTGGCATTGAAGTATATCGGAGGCTCGTGGGAGATTAAAGCTCCCCTTTTTGCAACGTTCGTCACAACACCACTGCCAAGTATTACCAGTCCATTAATTACAATGTTACTTATTTGTCGTCCACTTTGAAAAGCTTTTTTTCATTTACGAAACCCTCAATAAAACATGTCCTGTCAGTACATGTTTTGAGTTAACACTTGCCAGCAGTTTGCAGTACGTCGGATGAATTATTATAGTAGTTAATAATTAAATGCGTATGTTCTACCTTAAATACAAAATACGTAGTGTTTATGAAAACAGTTACGTGTATATCTCTTTTCAGTGTGACATTGTGTTGCTTTTTGCAATTTTACTGAGAAAAAAGCATTTTCTATACATTCTGAAGCCATTTGGACATATTGGTTTTGCTGGGTTCTGCTTGGTGTAGAACTTTAAAATATAACATTTTCATTTACTTGTTTGGGCTAGGGATCGACAGTCATGCAGTGTAATGTCGATCTGCAAATAATGCAACTGAGAGGATCAAAAGATGTAAGCTAAAAAATGTGCCATCTGTAATGGATGTATTACATTTTCCTGTACTTTGAATGAATTAGTTATGGATAAATATAGGATTTTGAACACGGCTATTCTGTTATTGAGTATGTATACAATAGCCAGTGATGGTTTGAAGTCATTGGCAATATTTTCACCATGAGCTATACAATCTAATGACAGGTTTCATTATATTCTTGTTCTTTGTCAGCACTTTCCCTTTGTGATCAAGTGGCTCGCTGTATGGTAGTACATCAATACCAAATTAAAACACACACACAATTATGATCGTTATAGTCTGGGTAGCTTAATGGTTGTACACATAACAGAGTTGAAATACATAAAACACCCATAAATGACGGTTCAATAATGCAAACACAATATTTACCGGGTTGCAACTTGCCAAGTGCAATTTTACAATTCGCAGTCGCAGCAGAATTTTTACAGCCGTCGCATCTCTGTCCAGCTGTCTCACGCCCTTTGCGTCACTGCCCCCACCATGAGACAGACTGAAGAACTTTGAGGCAGGTGATGCCTACAAGAAGGCATGGGGGAACAACCAGGATGGAGTTGTGTCCAACCAGCCAGCACACGTCATGGACGATCGGGAGCAGATGGCCTGCAGTGGTGGCTTCATACGCAGGTCAGGTGGCCCTCTTGGTGCAAGTTGTTCACGATCCAGTCGTCACCTTATAACAGGTGCTAAAATACACATAGGGGCATTTTTGCAACACGACATAACACAGAGCATGGTCTGCAAATGATCTAGAAACACTTCCCATTCAGGATTCTATATATCATCCCACCCATCTGAGGCCTATATAAGATCTTGTTTCAGCAGCTTTCTCTCTCTCACCTGAAGACGGTCGCTTGTGTTGCGATCGAAACGTCGTGATCTATTAATTTTCTCTTCTTTGGTTCTTTCGGTAAAGTATTATTTTATTCTCATTCTACGTGACTTTACCGAAAGAACCAAAGAAGATGAATCCTTGCAGTCACGAAAGCTTTAAATCGAAAAATATTAATTTTCTATCTACGTGACTTTACCGAAAGAACCATAGAGTATGGATTCTATATATATTCTAAAAAACTTAAACCATGTTTTGCATTTGTCATAGTGATGTTTAACAGGGATATGTCGGTGTTGCGTAAAGTTCTAAAGTCTGAATCTAAGACAATGCTTTTGGAAAGTTTTTAAAGTTATTTTCTTCGGTACCATTAATTACAAGTTAGTTTCTTTTTTTATTTTAACAATGAAACATTGGCAGCTCTGAAGGTGACTGTAAATGAGTCAATATTGCTGGGGTTATTTGTTTAATTTTCATATCCTACCTTTTTTTACTTGTTGTTTTGATGAATGAAATCACAACACCGGTATCGTAAATATCACACGAATAAGAAAAATGATCATATTGACTCCTGCAATTTTCGCCCACATCCCACTGCTTGCCCCTGCCCCCCCCACCCGTCCTCCTGCCTCCACGTCCCTTCTCGCCTTTTTTCTCATATTGTATATTCTCCTCCACCGTCTCTCCCCCCACGCAACGTCAATGTCCCAACACAGGGTGACAAACGACGCGCGGGAGAACGACATGGAGGAGAACCTTGAGCAAGTGAGCGGCATGATCGGCAATCTGCGCCACATGGCCATGGACATGGGCAACGAGATCGACATGCAGAACCGGCAGCTCGACCGCATCATGGAGAAGGTAATAGACAAGGACAGATTTCCCACCCGTGTAGTCTACATAGGTTTGTTGGGGTATATGATGTCAGCGTGCACCTATGAAGGCTGGCACGCTGCACAAGGGGGTGGTGTGTCCAGCCTACCAGGTACTAATTTAATGCTGAGTCGACCGAGGGGAGGTCCAAAATTTGTTCATACAGTCATCACTGATGTTGGATAAGTTGAACTCAGGTTGGCGGGTTCATAAGCACAGTGTGAGCAGCAGCTCGTGACTGTTACTCAGCAACCAAGAGAAAGATTTCTTTACCCCCTTGTGATTTTGTTTTATTGCTGGTCCAGCTCGAAGTGTAATGCAATGTAGTCATTTAATGATTACATTGCCATCTGCTGGGAATACTTTTGTTTGGCACGCAAGCCTGACTTGTTAATCCATTCTGTATGTTAATTTAAGCTCACACCTTTGACGACTGATATCTTATTTTTCATTATTTCGGGAATTATTTCATCTTTGTTTGGGTGAGGTGAGGGCTCGTTGAGACTAAAGGCTTCTTTTATGAGTGGAAATCTGGGTCTCAAAGCAATGCAGGACACGTGTTAAGCAAATTGAAATGGCATTACAAAACTCAAGAAAATGAAATATTCAACATAATTTTTTTGTTCTTGTTTAAGAATAACATAATTCCATTAAGATACATTTGGGTTGCATGAGGTATGCTTGAAAAGTATTTTATCATCATCAGTAGCAGCAGCAGCAGCCATCGTCAAAACACTTATCTCTCAGGATCCTGCGATGTTATAGAAAAGCACTTGCATTTTAGCCTATAGGGTATCGTTCAAAGACACTTTCATGTGATTGCTAATTCTGTAAAAGGCCATGCTTAGCATATGGCAGCTCCTTGTTAATGAGAACTGTCTGATTGTGCTTGTAGGCGGACTCGAACAAGGCACGCATCGACGATGCCAACCAGCGTGCCACCAAGATCCTGGGAAGTGGTTAAGATCCACGCCTGCAACATAATGATCATGTGACCAGATGGGACTGCTTCAGCCAGATGAAGATGCACAATAACATATCTCCGCACCTGTCCAGTGAAAATGCTCTCAACATACGTGAGGCAGTCAAAATACTTTATTAACGAGAAGCGAAAAAATAAGTTTTTTAATCAATTGCTAGGATTACCTTGTTTTGAGATCCTATCTTTATGCAATAATTATATACAGGGTGATCCGTGTATAGATGCCTTATTGCTTTGTCATGGTCCGCTTACTTTAATCTCAACAGGTGATTGAATATTGTGAAAGTGATGGCTTCATATCTCACAGAGGAGAGTGTTAACATATTACAAAAATTATATTAACAGGTGGGTGGGACACATGTGTGGGTATCTATAAAAGGATAACCTTATATAACATAAGTGGATGGTTATGAAAGATCACCGAATCGGAGGAGGGATGAATGTGAATTTGGAGGTGAGTTTAATCCTGAATCTACTCTCTCGTTTCGAAAACTTTTTGGCTGCTTCCTCATATAATACACAGATACAAAAATTACGTGTTGAAAACACCAACTAAAACATTTCAATTGATTTGCTTCCACTTTACACATCATGAAGAATTAAGATATTTCACAACTGGAAGTATGAATTGAGTAAAACCCAGTAAACATGCAAAGTTGGGCCAACGTTTGGCATGTGGTTGGAACCGTTACACCAACGTTCAATGTTTATTGGGTGTTCATAGTATTTGAAAGAATTATATGAAAACGTTATCGTAATGTATAGCTATTTGTCAATCAACTGCTTGATGAAGGCCTCCCCATGCCATATTGGTCATGGTGGTTGATTGACAACAGTAGCCCATGTTGGTAAGTGCGGGATTAGTGAAGGAGGTGTCCAGGGCTGGTTTAGATGTCATTAGCCACTGATGTTAGCCGTTAACGGGAATCGAACACAAAATACTGGGTTCATAGTGCAGTGCGCTTAACACTGCACCATCACTCAATCCCATGAATGTGTGTGGTGTAACTTTTCCACCTGACGTACTTCCTTGCCACTGTCCTTGATAGTTTTCCAGCTTCGTTTAAAACAGGTGTATAGGTTATGACATAGCACTGCAAGAATGTATAAAGCCAAGCTGTTATTCTTGCCATGTATTTTTTTTTCTAATACTGTAGATTTGAATTAAGTTTAAAAGGTAAATTAGATTTTTCCTAAATATATTTTACCTCCGCCAGTACTTTGGCATAATCAAATTGATTGTAAAATGTTGTCTCCAATAACTATATACGGTGTTTATTATTAACCCCCCCACCCCCCTTCCCATTAACGGTCTTGGACATTAACAGTCTTGGACAATGTGAATAAACAAAGTTTTTTTTAATGTCAATTAGAAACCTGGTGAATAAAGTTTGACGCAACGTTGGATGTCGCGGGTCGAAAATTACCTTTTACATCTGCTAAAATTATGTATTTAGTACAGTATAGATGCACTACGCTGTAAAAATACGTTTTTAGAAAATCAGATGTTGTCCAAAATGCCTCGAAAACGTGATGAAAACGTTGGACGAGTGTGCGCATCTACCATCAAACACTTGCTACTCATTTACGTCTTGAAGAATGTGGAACAATTTTCTAAGTAATCTGCTTTATACTGCAATGGCACATCTTTTAAATCTTAGAAGGCACAGCCAAAGCTAAGATTACAGCACAGGGTATCTATCTCTCACTTGTTAAACGTGCATCTGCACCCGCTCACATCAGAGGGTGAGTGGCGTTGATCTTATTCAGTATACTGTTCATTCCTCACAGCTTAACCTTAGCCAGTGCACCCTCGATAACTTAGCAGCACACGCTGAAATCATAAGTAATATTAAAAACAACTTTTTTTAAAAACACGCTTTTATGAAATGTACTCGTAATGGCAGAACTCCCAAGACTCCTGGAAGTGGCCCCGAAGCTTTGCCACAACGTCTGGGGACCTTGGCCAATTACAGCCAACGTCAGTTGACAGTGGACAATTAAACCCAAGCCGAAACATAACATATAAAAAATATGTTTAAAAATATAGATTTTTTTATGATAGAATATAGTATTGCCATCGGTATGACATAAGTATACCAAGTTTACAGTCGATACCACATTTGGAAGTGGGTTAAAATTGAGTTACAAGATTTGAGGATACAACAACAGACAGTTAAAAGAAAGCGTGTAAAATTAAAAAAGGGTGCAGTGCGAATGCATTTTAATAGGTTACTGACAACGCAGAACCCTGTTAATGATTAAACTGAAGCTGATATAGGCTAAATTTGGTTAAGTTTGTTAAGTTGTGACGCGTTTTTAGAGTGTTATGAACAAATGAAATAAACAATTCCATTTGTTTCAGTTTATTTATTTGGTATAGCCCTGTGAGTCATTCGGCTCTTGAATCGGGTGCAACCACAAGAAACAAAAAAACTAAAACACGAACACAGTAAAGCTTTGTCCTGACACTCGTATATAAACCTGATCATGTTATGAGATACAATAATTTAATACCTTTAAATATAAGACGTAAGATTCAAGTTGAATGAAAGTGGTTATAAACTGCAGCAATACATTAATGGCAGCCACAATATAGTGTTAATATAAATTATCCCAAAAATATTAATTGCAGCACTTTGTCAGCAAGGGTTGTGTGAGATGAGAGGGGAGATGTCAGAGAGTGCGTGGAGGGAAATGGGGAGAGGAAGGAGAGTGCGTGCAGGTGAGTGGGGAGAGGTAGGAGAGTGCGTGGATAGGAGTGGTAGCATCCCGTGCGTGGAGTGGGGAGAGGTAGGATAGTGCGTGGATGGGAGTGGTCGAAAGCGGTGCGTGTCCTGTGGTATGCCATACGCCCCAAAGAGTTTATATGGGCCAGAGTGGTCATTGGACTAAAAAAAGACGAATCGCGTTCCGCGGGCCACTTGGAGGTTCCGTAGCGCGGCCGATCAGCTGTTTGGCCAGTCACGTGCGCGCGCCGCGAACCGCCCCGTAAACACGGCGGACGACCTCGCGTCCCGACTCGGCGTTCTGCCCTGGCCGCCAGCTCGTCGGCTCCGTGTGGGAGCGGCAACAGTTTGTTGTTTGTAAAGACCGTGTACGTTGCCCGCCGCCGTGCGCTTCTGCGCCGTACGCCCAGCACGCGCAGCAAGGCCGAAGCCACGGGTAGGCCTTGGTCGTGCCGTCCCGTGCTGCTCGAGGCTCCCTGCCGCTTAAACCGCCACCGCTCAGCGACGCTTTTTGTTTTGTGCCCAATGCGAGTGTGGCCGCAGGGTTGATTTTGTGAGCGCCGACGAGGCTGAGCTGTTGGCCCTGGTGAGGGTGGGGGGCGAGGTAGGCTGTGTGGTGGCGGCGGCGGCACACGCCGTGTGGGCCAGTGCTGTTGAGGCGAGCGGGTCGGCGAATCGCGGTCGACGTTTTGTGGGGGAAAGATTTGCGAGGTGGTTTGGAGATCGCGGTAAAGCAGGTGGGGCTGACAGTTCCACTCGCTTGTACGCACTTCATGTGGGAGGAAAGCCCAATGATTACTCTGTGTACAGGTTTCCTCCCACACGTAGCAAATACAGACTCCTTCTGAAACGTTAATGTTGAGTATATGTTGAACTTCTTTTGCAGCGTACGTAGCTGACCGCGCTAATCGGAGGTGGCGCTTCCCCGGTTGAACATCGGATATCCACAATTTAACTGTGTGAACACCAACATGAGTGTACTGTGTCACTTTCAGTTAATGCTACTTAATTGTACTGTGTTTAGGCTTTAGTTCGTAAAATGATTACTTATTTACGTGTACAGTAAATATATGGTGGTCTCATTTACTTCACCTGGAGACGGTACTGCTTTGTGATCGTTGGTGTGTTTTTTTTGCTTTTGTGCTGATGGTTAGCAAATGGGCGCCTTATAAGTGGTTGCACACGAAGAGCCATTGCCCGACTCCTGTGTGTTATATGTATTTTTCATACTGTTATTGACGAGTTTTTGTATTGATATTTGTTCACCCGTACCAAAAAAAAAACGCTGAGCTTTGTCTTCCGGGCTAGACAATGAATGAACGATAATAAAACATGACAGGCCACTGGTTATGGCCAGTGCCATGTGTCAAGCCATTGGTTTGGTGAAGACCTTCACACACCGTATTGGCCATGGGCGTTGCCTTGGTCTGACTTAACTCTGCCTTTGTGAAGAGGGATCTCGTGTCCCTAGGGCTTGTTAATTTAATGTTGCGTCTCAATTTGGGGTCATGGTTTCGGTTACTACGGGATATTCACCTTTCCAACCGCTGGTTTGAAAATGATAACTCAAAGGGAAGTTTTTTTTTCTGTTTGGATAAATGACATTGTTACTTTTCAAATAAACTACGGAGAGAATGAAACGTGATTCATTCAAAGTGCAGCGCGTCTTCGCTGCCCAAGCTACTTCGGCGCTAGAGTTAGACAATCGATTTGGTACATCTATATGCTCTGATAAGAGCATAGGAGAGTTGTTATTTGTAAGGCTGTCACTAGTTAAAGTGATCGGTCTAAACCCGAAACTAAAAAAAAGGCTCAAGAACAGTTGGCGTACAGTGCTAAACCCTTAAACAGTCCTTGTTTCTTGCATACAGTACTTTAAGAAAATAACAATTAGTGTTTTTTTGATCTGGCTGTTGAATATATGGATTGAAGACAGGTATTTAAAGTCCACTGTGTTGTAATTAGAACCTTGTGTACCTTTTTTGAGATGTAATCGGCAAATAATTAATCTTCCCACATGTCACGAGTTCGTAAAAAACACATGATTCACCCCTGTTAAAGCCTATTACCACAGGAAGTTATAAGAAGTAGTGGCACTACTGGTTGGCTGTGGATTTGCTTGTAAGCAGTTTTATACAAGCATCAAATTAAATATTGCTCGCACATTTTGCCTTAATTCATCGTGATAATTGTGGAGAAATAAAATCAGTGTGCAGGTGGATTATTACAGGCATTTGAAAGGTGGTGGAGGCTTGGGGCAGCCTTCATCCAGCAGTGGAATGACCACTGGTGATGATGAAGGCATTCTCAGAATTGTGCTTACATGTGTACGTTTTTTGTTTCTGCTTGCGTTAATTTACAGGAAGGGTGGCCATAGGCTCCTTGGAGGAGCATGCACCCATTTGGGAACGAAGAGGCTTATTCAGCGCAGGAACTCTTTAGTTTTTTCTGCCGGAACCTGTGCAATGGCAGGTGGGAGCTGGCACGTGCCTGCCTCCCACGACTCTGTGAAAACCAGGCTTCTCTGGGACTCGATGTGGCACAGCTACTGGAGGCTGTTGCCACGCAACCTCACTACTTCCTGTAAGAATGCCGTATCACACGTTTTAAGTCAGCAGGAGTTGGTTTTGCATTGTTTCTGTACACGCAAATACAATTGATGTTTTAGGAGATTCTCAGTGCCACACATTTCAACGTGTAAATGTTTTGTACTGCAAAAACAGCATACAGCAATTTTATTGACGTTACATAGCACGGCATATGAAACTTCCCTTATATCCAGTTGAAATATTTACCACAATTTCCTCACAGCTGCATTTTTCTTAATTTATCTCCCTGTGTAATTTATTTCCAACATGTAGTGTTCCATGATTTTTTGCATCGAAACAATTAATATTACAAGTTGCAATACCAGTCAAGACCCATCTTTCTGCATAAAAATGATCTCGTCTAGGATAAAAGCCTGCTTCACAGAAGATTGCATACAACTGATATTGGGTGTGATATTGTAATTATTTGTTATGCTGATAAAATGGGCAATTCTAGTGCAGCCTGTACTACAGCAAGTTACACAACAAGTGAAGCCTACAATTGATAGCCATTTCTCAGGATCTCTGTTACCGAATAATTACTAATTCACTGATTGTAATATGTGTGTAGTTGACATTAATTGGACCAAATTAGAAAAATAAACAATGATTGACATACTGTGGAGAAATGTAGTTTTGTCTCGCACAAAACATGCCAGGAATACATGAACCTTGTATATTTTTTTTATTGCCAACTTTTCAGAGGTGATTGTCCCTACTCTGCAAATTGTTTGGCGATGATCTGTCTTCATGAGTTGGAGCATTTAAAAGGTGGTGCACTGGTAAGAATTTTTGTAAATATATATTTTTACATTGACATTTTTAAAATAGCCAGGTAATTTTTTTTTCTGAAAAAATATACGTTTGGAACCCCTTGAGGTAACACATTGTTATCTATGCCAGCATGGTGGATTGTTATCATTTCTGAGGCAAACAGAAAATAGTTTCTCATTTGTAACCTGTGCTTGTAGGAGGGCCCCTTGAGGTTGCTCCATCAAGATGTCGAGTTCCGGCTGCTGCTCGACTCCTGCAGCTGCCAGATCCCGGCTGACGTCGCACAGGTAGTGGCACTGCCCTGCAAGCTTTGGTTTTGTAATGTTTTTCATTAATTATTTGTCTGTTTTTTTAACATTCAGGTTTTCGCAGCCACTCGTAAGTCTTCTGAGTTGGGCTGCGTTTGTATAGCGTTGATTCCCTCAAGGTTTCTCCACGCACTTCCAAAGGTGCCCGGAGCAGTACATGGCGAATGCTTGAAAGAAAGTTGGCTGTGCGTATGGCCTAAAATGGAAGGCCATCATTTTATTTGGGATTGTATTGTTCTGTATAATGAAAGCATCAGTCACATTTACTTTAGATTATGAAAGGCCCAGACAATCTATAGGTATGTGCCAATTAGAAGCATGCATTTACCAATGTAGAATTAACTTGGATCAGATTTAAAGACAACATGGAACATATCCTTCTATCATTTAGTCAGCTGGTTTCTGTGTAATGTTAAAGAAGTTAAAATATTGCTCTGCATGTTAAAAAAAAATATACTTTTTTTGTTTAAACAAGTTTCTGATGCATAGTTTATTAACCTTTAACAGCTTTAGCTTTTATATGTAAATGTACTCATTTATTTAATTACATTTGATAAACCTTTGTTAATCCACTGTGTCAGTCATGGGGGTCCTTTACCATATTTCACCAAGTTGGTCAGTGCATCTTTGTTAAGGGGTGCCCAGTACCGGTTCAGATAAGACTGGTTCATATATCACTTGCTACTGATGTTAGCTGTGATTAGAGCATTCTTATCACTGCAGTCCAGCTCCCCTCACATTCTATATTTACCAGGTCAAAATACACCCCATGATTTGCGATAATAATTAACATGAGAATCGTCATTTCTTGTGTCACTGCTGTTAAAGGTTTTGTAATTATTCCAAATCCCAACCGAAAATTGTCATGCTATGCCTAAAAATACTGTGCACTTCGACATGATTTTATCTTTGGAAGACAACCTTTTAACTTATTATGTGAATGAGAAATGTCAGTGTTTGAAGTGTATTCTTAATAGGGTTTCTGAGTGACAAGGTCCACCGGTTTAACTTCCCTTTTACACGCTGTTGGGGTAATTTTTCAATTACTTTGCTTATTTTAAAATAAAACACTGGATCTCTCTCCGTTTTAAATTGCATATTCTTACATGGAAGTCACTTTGCCATCTGTAAACAGTATAATCCACTGTTTAGTTTCATATTTAAACATTGAGGAATGCTTACCCAAAAGTAAGCTAATTATTTTTGTACTAGCTTGTTTGCCCGTCCTAGGACGAAAAAATTGAGCGGATACAATTGTATCTTGTGTTAATTTAATGGCAGTGAATCTTGCACAAGTATATGTCATCAAACACTTCACTTTATTTCACTGTAGCACTGTATTAATGGCAGTGAATCTGGCACAAAACTATGTCATAAAACACCCCACTTCATGTCACTGTAGTACTGTATATAACTGACCTTCAATTTATTCAAATTCACTGCTCTGATACTTTATTCTCTTCTGCTTTTGGTCGCTGGGGTTGAAATAAATTGAATTCGATACAATATCTGGAAAATCACAGAGAAATGTCTATTTTACCATAATGTAGAATAATAAATTAGACTTACCTTTTGTTTCAAGTGCTGAAGAAAAAAATAAAGACACCAAATCCACTTTGTTGCTGGTAAAATTATTGATTAGATTTTCTTTCAATAAAGAAACATCAAACTTAAAGCGAATTTGCGGACATTTTTTATTTCCACTCAACCTGCATGTGTGATAAAATCCACCCGCTCATGAATATTAATGACGGGGGGGGGGTACGGCATGGGGAGTGACGTCACGCGCGTTACACACAAACAGACATTATTGGCTCATAGTAGTAATTTTAAAATAATTGTAAAAATTTTTCTGCATTTCAGAATCTCTACCACTGTTTCCAGCAGACCCATTGCCTGACAGGCAGTGAGCAACATGACCCCGATGTTCATCTCTCAAAGGAAAGCAAAGCATTTCTGCAAAAGATAATTGACCAAGACCCCTGGATTGGCCATGCTATCATCAGCAGCCTGAATGCAGAGATGTCGCATGGCAGCATCCACCATCCTGCCCTGCAACAGTTGTTTGTGGATTCTATTCTGGGACACCTGGTAGAGCTTCGAAAGAGTTCTAATTCGGACAACCCCAGTGATACAAGCGATTGCAAAGTGCGTGAAATTAGAGAGCGCTTATATTCATGTGTGGCCACCTTGAACTTGAGTGCCCCAGCAAGGACCGTGGACCTTGAGAGGTTGTTTTTGGAGCTCCACGATGCTTGCCATGGTGCCGAAAGCATATTGAGCGAAACCCGCTTACTCAGCTGCCTTCTCAGACAGGGAAACAACTTTCTAGTCAAGCATTATTGTGCAGTTGTGGATGAAGAGCACAGAAAGAAGAGTGTGCATGAAAATGCATTGTTTAGTGCAGTCGAGGGGGATGGTAAGTTCTTGTACACTTGTCTCTTTAATGTCAACAAAAATGCTCATAGGTATTTCAACTTCCACTTGTATTGCTTTTGTCACCATTATCATTCAAGCCTAAGTGCTACTTATGCTTTCAAAATGCAAGTTTGCCCTCTGGGGTCTCCACAATATCTCAGCTCCAAAATGCGCATGATCATAAAGTTACTGAAGGATTCCTCACTCCTACCTGTATATGAGGTCACATCACCCCAATTCTCAGATCTAATGGCTTCCAATCCAATCCCCAGTCAACAATAAAATCATGTATACAAGCCCTTGCCTTTTCACTATTCTGTCTCTACCCACCCCCAAATGCTCTGCTTCATTAACAAAGGCTTTCACTCAAAACCCTCAGTCAACTTCTGTTCAACAGGAGGTTGCTTTTTCTGTACTGTAACCCCTGTAGTCTTGGAAGTCCTTTCACAGTCATCTCTGCTGCCAACTCTGCCCCTGTTCAAGTCTAGGCTCAATGCTTTCCTGTTTTCTGTGTATGCTGTTCCATGTAATTTCTAACACTATATTTTCTTCCTATTTTTGGTGGATCCCCTAATGTGCATGTCCTACATTGTGCAGACTTTTTAAATGCAACCGCATTCAAACATTTGTGCAAATCCAATTTGAAAAACAATGTGAACTCGCCTCATAGATTGGTTGTATGGCTGTGTTTTGCTGTGCAGCGGCATATGGTGATCTGCAGGAGGGAGAGAAGATGGTGCTGTCCCTCATGTCGCATCCTGACCGGGCTCGCACCTGGAAAGAGCTCTATTTTTACTGCATTGCCAATGGAAAACATTTCCTAGAGCTCATCGTGGTGAGTCTCCAACAGAGGGGCTGGACTGCCAATATAACCATCCCCTGAACACTGCGGTATAATTGTCAAGTGCAGCATAAAAACATGGACTAAAGGAAGTACCTTATTCTCAGGATTATAAGACGCTCCGAAAACAAGACACATCCCAAACATGTGTGCGGAGCCAATGAAGTGATACAAATCTGAATATTCACACCTATCCAATTATAAGATGTATCCCCAACTTCTGAAAAATACACAGAAAAAAAGTGTCTTATAATCCGTAGAATACGGTAATGCACAATTCCCACTGGTGCAATGGTAATTGATTGAACTGTCTTGTTGGTGACAGATGGCTGCCTTGCAACTCGTGAAGCGAGGTGACCTGGGGACGCTGGGGCAGCTACTGTCGGGTGAATTGGAGCCCCTGTGTCGCCTGGTTTTGCTCCTGGGGTGGACTCACTGCTCCACCCCGGAGTCGGCCCGCGAGCTTCTGCGCACCCTGCACTGCGACAGGGTGAGAACTGGGAAGAGCTTATAACCAACCGCCTCCTGGTGCCAGAGAATATTTGTATAATTTTAACTTTTCTTTTGAGGTTCATTTTGTAAATTGTTGAATTGTATGGAAATGTCCTTGCCCCTCCCAGCATTCTGTGTTGTCGACTCCGCCCACCGACTGAAGTCCTGGCTCAGGGTTCTTGTCTTGACTGGCTGACCGCTATAACTTTGCCTTTTGTTTCTCTCTGTCATCTTGAGATACCGTCGCATTTAGATGCTTTATGTATGTATTGTATATGTCTATACGCTATACTGTTCAGTTTAATTCCAAATATAAGGCTATTGTGATCATGTCTCTCTTTTTAACAGACCTGGTTAAAATAAATACACCGTAACAGGAATCATTCTCGTGCAGGAAGTTAAAATTCAGAATTAAATATCTTAACAGAAAACGGTTGCAAATGGTTCTGGAGTGCCTTTTGGCGTCACCTGGTCAAGCACCAATTGGGTCGAGGCTCAAAAGAAAGCCGTCCCTTGGTGTGGACCAATCGGTTTCAAGGACAATGCATATATTATCATAGTATGTTTTTTGTTTGCATTTTGAACTGCAGGTATTGTGGTTAATGCAGACATGAATCCTTGTAAAAAGGTTTCAGTTTTGTTGCCAGAAAAAAGGGGAAAAGCCCTATTATTAAATAAAACAGTGTTAAACATAACAACCAACTTAACACTAAAATTCTAGATTTGAAGTTTTCGTGACTGCAATGATCCATACTCTTTGGTTCTTTAGGTAAAGTCAAATAGGTAAAAATAATAATAAATAAAAAATAAATAAAAATCTAATTACGGCGTTTCGGAAGCAACACAAGCTTCCTTTTGCTGTGGTTGTCCCGCCTGATGAAGGAAGCTTGTGTTTCTTCCGAAACGTCGTGATTTGATTATTTTCAATTTATTTTTTATTTATATTTATTAGTTTTTTTACCTACGTGAATGAACACTAAAATGTTACGTAGTGCTGCTACAAAAACCAAATAAACATAACTGGAAACGGGTTTATTCCGAGACAAAACTTTGCATATTATGACAGCATATACTTTTTCTTCCATTTCCTCTTCATTTGTTTTGCAAGGAATCTTTTGTTTTTACGTTTATATTATAATTTTTATAATTGTGACAAAAGATTTGCAAAAGCAAGTTGTGCAGCCACTTTGCCACGACAGTAACTACAAGCATCTGAGCACAGACTGGCCGTGTCCAATAAGGGAGGATTGCTGGGTTGGGTGAGTGGTTTTTATTAACGCTAGCGTTCGCTGGTGCCAGGGTGTCCATGGAGACCGTTTGCTCGCGAATGCCTGCAACAGCCTAGCGTCGCAGGTGGACGTTCTGCAGTGGTGCATCCGCAAGAGCAGGTAGAGGCCGCACTCCCACAGTCACTGCGAGAACGATGATACCAAAGCATATTATTGTCCAAGCACTGAGATACGGCAAATGTGGACCATATTGACTATCTTTCCGGTTATTGTAGGCATGTAACTTTGCATCATATCAATTCTGATGTATACGATACACATGTTAAATTGTGCTTGTAGGAATATATAATGTTTTATATGTCATTGGTTCACCTGACCTGTAAATGATTATTTTTATTATTTTTTAAATAAATATTTCTGTTGAATCTTCACATTTGTTACTGCTTTTACACACTAAATCCATTTTGTATTGTACCATTTCAGCCTCTAGAGGTGCTACATCCAAAGTAAGAAAAATCTAATGGAATCTCAAACCCCAAATCGTGACATTTCATTGCATGGCAAGGGATGAGATAGGGCAGGCAGTATTCGCATATCTTTACAGTATACCCCTAACATGTTGGGTAACCCCTCCATCCACAGCAAAAACCTCAGTGTGCAGGACCTAGCGCGGCATTTGCACAGTCAGGAGCAACATTCTACCCTCTACCAGCTTCACCACCTCACAGACCTCCTGGGGCTGCATGAGGCGGAGGTGCTGGCTGTGCTACTCAAACCCATGGTCACCGACACAGGTCTGTACGTCTGTGTGAATGTATGTTGAAATTATTTCGGACCGGAGGTAGCCAACCGTGCTAACCGGAGGTGTGGGTGGAAAGGTCTGGAACCTGACACCATCTTAAGAGGCGCACACAACAGGGCAGCCATGGCCCAGTGACTCGGGCGCCACTACGCTATGAACCCGGCAATCCGAGTTCAATTCTCGGCCATGGCTAACATTAGCAAAGTGATATCTGAACCAAAGTGTACAAAACTGCAAGGTACAGTGTGATGCAGCTATCTTGCTGTGACTGTTCCACCTGAAGACGGAAGCTTGTGTTGCCTCCGAAACGTCGTGATTTGATTTAGTTTTATTTAGATTTTGTTTTATCTACGTGACTTTACCGAAAAAACCAAAGAGTAATAATCCTTGCAGTCACAAAAGCTTCAAATCTAGAATTAGGTTCTGTGATTCTTTAAACATTTTGTCAACATAACATTCAGATATTAGTTATTTTTGTTTGCTTGAGTTATAGATATTGAAGTTTGCTCAACAGGTTGAGGTCAATTGCTCATGCAATATTTTTGTATCTTCCTTTTTGTGCCATAGAGCAAGACGCTGAAACTTCTTCTGAATTGCCAACATTGGACCAGCAAAGAAATGTCGCACTGTTTCATAGTTTCTGTGCCATGAAGCATGCTATTAGCGCCTTATGCCTAAAACATTTACCTTCCAGGCGACCATCCATTTCCCATGAAACTAACACTAGTCAGACTGTCACTAATCGGTGCAGCTCCAATCAGGACATTACCGAGAAAGATGCTGAAAGGACTACATCTAGCTTGGAAGGCCAGACATCTGGAGAATGTTGTCCATCACCGCTTGATAATGCTGAAACCAATTTAAATAGCTTGGACTGCCCAGTGGAAGACTTCTCGACCATTGAGTGGCACTTTGAGCAGTGCCACTCTCACTTGAAGCAGATTTCCCCTCCAAATCTGCGATTGGAGGTGATGGAGAACATTTTCTCACTGCTGTTTGTGACATTTGAAGACCTCGCTGGTGAAGGCGTTGGCACGGAGAGCGACTCGGAGGAGTACGTGGAGGACGCGACGTTTGATCAGTGGGCCGCCGAAAGCCTGGAGAGCAGTGTGGACATCCTGAGCTGCAGCCCGCCCGACCTTGATGACCAAACTTCGCAGGCTCGGGCAGAGTTGCAGAAGATGTCGCTTCAGAGCAGTACGCTTTCCAACAAGTCGCCAACCTCTCATGGCACTTCTGCGGAAACAAGCGCAAAAATCGATGCAGAGATCGCTGACGCTAGTCAGAGCAACCCACAGAAAGTTAAGGCAGCCTTGAAACGTTTTGCCTTTTCTTTGAAGAGGAAGTCGGGATTTATAGTCGATGAGCATTCTACTCACAGTATACTCTGCCTTTTAGAGGAAAGCCTGGAAACAATCAAAGATGAAGGCTGTCCCACGCAAAGTACACTGCAGCTTGTAGACTCTGTTGTGTCTTCCGTTAGTATGGACTTCTTCAGCCACCGCCTTTCTCGCCTGTCAAATTACATCAGTGAGGCACACTGGAGGTACAGGCTGATCTTCGCTAATCGTTGCACAGGTGCGTATGTTATAAATGTCTGCTTAGCCGGCGTTATTAAAGTGACGTGCATAGCTTTCGGTTGAGTGTTTTGCTTTAAACCATGTATTTATAGCTCATGGATACTTCGTGTTTTGTCAGTCTTTTTTACAGCCAGTTTAAGCATTGCAAGAAGTACTGCCTTGCAATGCATAACTCACAGTACACATTCTATATTATCCCACAAGATTAATGTCTTGAATATGAGCAGAGTGCTTCCTGTTTTTAACCCGTGCAGACCACTTATTTAGCTGCCTGATGTCATGTTACATGCATTCTAAGGTCCGCACAAAGGCCAGGATTTTTCAAGAGAACTTAAAAGGAAAAGGTCTAAAGGCAAAAGGTCTACACAATCACAACATAAAGGTACAATACTTTGTTTTTTGTTTCTCACTGTTGTCAAGAGTTGTGCATTTCCAACTTTGTACAATAATATGGTATTGTGATGATGCAGGTTGTAATGATTAAATCCTTGTTTATTTCAATTTGGTGTCTGTCCTTTTCCCCTAGAGTGGAGTGAATGCATAAAGGAGGCATGGAATAGTGACATTCCTACATCTGCCGCAGGTGTTCAACACAACCATCGCAGTGTCCTGTAACTCCACCTGCATTATGCAAGCGCCTTTGTGCACCTTCATTGTAAAAACCCATCCCTTAATCATACATTTAGACACCCGAAATCCAACTCATGTTGTATTGCGTAAAATTAGCAACATGTAATATGCAGAATTACCTATACAGTGTGTACTATTTATTATGAGGCTATTGTTTGTTGAAAGATGTTTGTCAATTTCATTATTTGGGAAAGATAAACATTACAATGAAAGAGTAGTACACCTAAATAATTGACAAAAGGTCATTTTACAAAGTAAAATTTTGTCTTTTTTTTAGGGCTTTAACTAACCTGGAGATGGGGTGGAACCATTGCATGGAATGAATGCTTTAGAGATGCATCTTGCCATATGGCTGAATTACAATATTTTTCAAATCATCGCCATACCACCGTTGATATTCTTGGTTCTTTCGGTAAAGTCACGTAGAAGGGAAATAATAACATAATAAAAATAAAACAATAAAATTATATTGTTTTGTTTTTTTAAAGAACCAAGAATATGAATCCCTGCAGTCACGAAAGCTTTCAATCGAAATTTATACCACCGTTGGTTTATAAAAAAAAATGGCCATCATGTGTCTTTTAACTTGAGAACTAAAGTAAATCCGGAATGAGCCCCAGTATACACAGTATCCGTTTTGTGTACACAGTGGCAAGACGGTGCTACAGGTGCCGCTGAAGATATTTTTGCCGTTTTTTACTGGCCTTTTGTAATATAAACCTATGACCAACATACCTGGAATGTGCCCAATCTCATCCGATCTTTGAAGCTAAGCAAGTTTGAGTCTGGAGAGTGCTTGAATAGATGACATAATGCATATCAGGTGTTATAGGTGGTGGGACTACATCGTTGGCAGCATAGAGCAGTGCAAGCAAAGTAAATTGTTTTATGGCACCGTGCTAATGCCGCTAAGTCTGTGCCTCCCTCCTTTACCCAACCGGCACTGACCAGCATGTTAAAGTGTTGTCAACCGCCATGATCCACACGGCATGGGGGGGGAGGCCATTGCGCAGCAGTGGTTAACAGAAAGGCTGTACATGTTTGTTGTAATGGAAGCGTAGCGTCACGGCCGTGACACCACGGCTCTGACACCACGTCTCGCGTTTCTGCAGAGTGCAGCAGTGGGGGCTCGGAGCGGACCGGCCAGAGCAGACTGAATGAGCGGTCATCATCGCGGCAAGAGAGCCGAATCATCCCACTCATGCTCACGCCACCAGAGTCGCTCCTCACTGCGTGCATTCTACAGGAGAACTATGCTCAGGCTCAACAGGTGCCGCAACATGAATTTGCTCTCCATGGTTATTTTTATTATTCTCGTGCGACTGTTCGCACCTTATAAACCTCACCTCTCTGCCGTTTTGCCATTAACCATATTATCACACGTCCCCTTTCCCACTTTATTTAAAACTATTCATCGTTAGCATGGGGGGAACAATGATCTCTAGATAGCTTTGTGCAGCATGTGCCCACTGCTGCTCGGTTTAAATTACAGTGCATAAACCACTCACTGCTGCACCCCAAATTCAGAGTCTTAACGATAGAATGTATTTGTATTTTTTGCTACATTGCAAACTTCACTGGTGGTTCAGTGGTAAAGTAAGCAGCTCTCAATCAGAAGGAGAGAGGCTGGGGTTTGACTTAGTTCAGTATCTCTCTGGGCTCCATAAAACGTTATAAAGGAGGTGAAGGGTGCATCTTCTTTGGTTCTTTCGGTAAAGTCACGTAGAATGAGAATAAAATAATAAATTGATAAAATAAAATAACACAATAATCAATTATCAATTTATTATTATTTTATCAATTTATTATTTTATTCTCATTCTACGTGACTTTACCGAAAGAACCAAAGAAGATGAATCATTGCAGTCACGAAAGCTTTAAATCGAAAGGTGAATGGTGGTCTAGCATAGACTTGCCCCTGCCATCAGTATGTGGATTTTTCGTCACTGGCTCAAGGCTGTAAACGGGAACAGAAAATAACTTTGAGACTTTTCAAATGGTTCACAGGTGGTGGCCATGTTTGGACTCGGTTCGGCGCAGAGCCTCGATGAGCTGCGCTTTGCTGAGGAGTACGGGGCACGCGTGGCTGAGCTGCAGCGGCTGGAGGTCCAGGCCAAGGCTGCGCTGCCGGCCCGGCGCGTCCCCAGCCCCAATGAGCCACTCGATGTGCTGCAGTCCATTGCCACCGCTGCGGCTGCGGGTAAGCTAACCCAGTGTGTGGTGCCGAGGTATTCAGAAATCTTCCTGCGGCTTGTGATATGAACTTCAATTGGTATAAACAAGTAAGGTACACTAGACGTGAGCCTTATGTACCTGGCACACGACAACGATGCTTCAACTCATTGTCATAATCGGCCATGGTCAGTCCGCTGCTGAATGAAGCCTTGCTTAAGCTGCCACCATCATTACACATTTATTCTTGACTTTTTACTTGTGATTTTCTTTTATTTGTTTCATTTTCACAATTTTATATAGACCGAAATACATACGTGCAGACATTGGTTCCTCCCCATCCTCGCAGTTTTACCCATTCCCATGAACGAATGGCCGTGTCTCAGGCGTGGCGTCCACGTCCGTGGTGGGCTCCGTCGAGCGGCTGCTGACCCTCGTGCCGGACTACTTCCCTCTGCCTCCCGCATTGGCCGAGGCGGCTGACGCGGGGGTCGGGGTCCCTAGCCGGGACGCGGCGCTGCTGAGACGGCGCCTCGCCGAGTGCCCGCCGCCCGCGCTGGTGGCGTTTGACCTGGCGTGCACGCGCAGCACCAGCTGGAAGACATGTCGCACGCTCCTCGAGGTGGCGGAGAGGAGGCTGCTGGCGGGCACCGTCGCCGAGAGCCGAGGTGCGTCGTCTGCTTTAGGGTGCCGCTCCTGAATTTATGTTGAGTTTCTTTCGCACCCTACGTAGCCAACCGTGTTGATCAGAGGTGCGGGTGAAGGATAACAAACTATACCCAGTTGCAGTTCTAAAGAAATTAGTTTTCAATCTAGATTTAAGACTAGATAAGCTCCAATGCCTTCCTAATATTGGAAGGAAGAGCGTTCCAGACGCCCAGAGAAGGACATCCGAAAGTGTGTGATGCGGTGACGGTCATGGTTCGATGGCTATCCAAAAGCCGCTGTGAGGCTGACCAGAGTTTGCATGATGGTTTAGGCTCCTTGACAAGATCAGCAAGGTATTATGGTTCATTTGTGGCAAGCATTTTGTGTGTAATGTCCGCAGCATAGTGTCAGAAACGACTTTTGTGAACAATGCCGCATTGACGGTAATATGGAAACGCATGTTTTGTTTGAAGGCAAGAAAGGAGATCACAAAGCGAGCACAGGAACGTCCATTCGGGGATTTCCAACCTTCCTCAAGCAAGTCAGCAAAATAATCAACCACACGCAGCCATCGGGAGCCAGCGGTGCGTCCTTTGTTGGTTATTTTCACACCACATTCAACTTTTGTATAATCGTGACCTCTGTGCACTTACTGGTAATATAAGTATGTATTTAAAAGTTGAGCGACATTTGTGCTTCAGATGAAGCCGACCTCTCTTCACACTTCAACGTGAGTGTGTCTGAGCTGCTGCTGGCTTGCCCCGGGCCCCTCTCCGCCGAGCACATGGAGACCCAGCTCACGGACAGGGCCCGCGCCGACTGCATGTTGCTGCGCATCTTTGAAGCTGTCGGCACTCAAAGTGTGTGCTCCCAAAAATTGTTCAAGAAAGCTATGAAGGGGTTTGGTGTTCTTGGGCCTTTCTCTAGCAGTAAAAACCAAAGCCACTGTGGCAATGTTAGAAAAATACTGAGTGGAATGTCTCCTGTTATTTTTGCAATCCATAGCTTATGTGGCACATATAGACAACATGCACTGCGCAATAGCTTTTCTGTAAATTGGCATGAACCCGTTTTAAATTGAATGTATTTTTACCGTTTGATCAAGAATACCCAGATATGTTCGTATTCCATGAGCTGCTCGCCAAAAGGCATTAACCCAGGCTGTGCTGGGTTGGCGTCGCCGTGCGTTGTGTGATGAGTCAGACGTGCAGGGCGACGTGGTCGCTCACCTGTTGAAGAACTGGGCCAAGGCGCCGTCAGGAGAGAGCGAATCTATTCGCCATCTCATCAAGCAGCTGCTCAAGGTGATGGACCCGCAGGAGGTGCTCGGGCAACCTACAGAGCCGGCTCCTGCATACCTTCATCGGCTCTTCGACTACCTCAACGTTCTGTCCATGATCATCATCAGAAGCCAAGGCCGGGAGACTGGTACACTTATCGTGTGCTTTTTTTTTCTTTCTAAGAGCTACGAAATCTTACATTTGCGTACATTGCTTTTGCTTAGTGTCTCAGTGATCTTTGCCAGCTTTGTAGCCTTTAATGATATTAGCGAAGGTTGTGATGGCCCTAAAACCAGTACATGTTTTATAGTGGTGCACACCTGTGATCCTATGCATTTGAGGTATGGGATCACAGAAATGTTGTTAACTAAAGCCACTGGGCTGCGAGGTGGAGAAATATGGCTTTGTGAGTGTTATCTTCTTGTTTTCATGTGTTTTCTCTTTCTAGTTGCCAGGTTTTATTTTACTAACCCATGTAATATTTTAATCTTCCTACTGTCTTACAGTCTGTGTCTATCACAGGCTCACGTTGGGGTTTTTTTCCAATATACTTTATGCCAAACACATTCGTGCAAGTTACCAAACATGTCAATGTAGGACACTCCTGAACAAAAACTATTGCGACTCGGCGAGGTTTTCCTGGAGTTATTTCTTTTTTAATCATTATTGCAAAATAAACACGTGCATGGACTTCAACTGTAATTTAAATGCAAACTAATGCATTGCTCTGAATCACGGTGTGTAGCCATTTCATGGACTTTGCATAGCTTTATCAGCATCCAAACTCAAACAGGCAATTCTGCTTCTACATACCACTGCTCACTTTTTGTTTTCAAAACAAATGCATGGATCTTTGTGTGTCTTAGATTCATTGGCCAATGTTAAACCCACAAACACGCTGGTGCTGCTCCAGAAGAGGCCAGTGGAGCTGCTATCCCAGCTGTTGTTCGAAGAGCAGACACTGCCCAGCAGGTACATGTTACACTGGATGTTTACTGTACCAGAACAGAGTCTTGAATTGTACTGTCATTGATGCTGAAAAATGTCACTTAATATTAACTAATTTAAGTAAGAATATTATCAACCATTATCAATCCACTACTGGATGCAGGCCTTCCCATACCATCACCATCTCTCATGGACCTGGGATACACACAGGTTGATTTCATGCTTCATCTTCATATTGTGGATGTCCACTCTTGGCTGCGTCTTCGCCATTAATCCTGACCACCAGCCTTCCAGCGATATTGCCCTGCCCAAGCCAATGTCATAATATGTTATTAAAAAACTGTACGTACAAAAAACATCTGTTGTCTTTCCATCTACTGACTGCTGATAGAGATTTTGTATCCTTGTTTCTGCCTGTATGTGATAAAGCTGTATCTTTGCTGTGTGCAATTGTCAGACTCGAGGTGCTCATAAAGGAGGAGTGCCCCCCTCTCGCCCTCAACCTGAGGCGCGTCATCTTAGACTGCTGCTGCCGGCCCCTCCCACTGGGTGGAGCCTCGCAGAGCCCCGCCAATGCCACCTTGGCTGCCCAGGTGGAAGCCATTCTGCACGGAGCGGTGGGCTCCTGCCTGCCTGCCCAACTCGAGCTGCTGCGTTTGAGCCCAGGCCAGAAAGCTGAAGACACGAGTGAATCCAGCCAGAACGTCTGCCAGTATTCGCTCACCGCCGTGACGCTAGCCTATCTCAAGGTAATATATGCTGTGTGTTTGTACATGTACTGCACGTTTGTCAGCCCCGCTGCTAGATGAGGGCCTCTATGCCATGCTGTTTGTTGGGGTTATGTGACCGTCTGGCACTATGCTCGTCGCTGGCTTGGTAAAGGTGGGGAGCATAGATATTGGAGCATGGAGATGAAGCACATCAATGGATTTTGCTGCACTACTCCCTTTTGACATCATCAGACATGGTCAATCCACTGCTGAATGAAGCTGCTACCTCTCGCAATTTTGCGATGTAACTGCCTCGTACCTTAATGGGAGTTGTTAACGACTTTGTGCTAAAAATATCTAAGAGCATGATGTAGGTGCCCTCAAAGCATTTTGCACTGTGCCCTGACAAAAAGCTGGGAAGACCACCATCCCTCCTTTGCTCCCTGCAACTGCATCGTGTGCCTGTTCCAGCCTGTCACTCCACGTATCACCTGCCTCTCGCTCCACACTTTGTATCCAGATCACCATAGTTGGCTATGTACAGTGCAAAAGAAGTTCAACAAACGAGAGGATATACAGCCTCCGAGAAGCAGTGAGAGAAAGAGCCAGAGAAAACGGACAGCATGAAATAATTATTAGTTGTAGTAGGAAATAGTGTTCCCTGATCCAACTTTTTTCCTGCTCTAAAGTTCTGTTTTTACGGTCTCCTGAAGAAATCTAAGTTGAGGTTTCACTGTATTTTAGCGGTTACCATCCTATGGCCTTTGTATCACTACTGCCGGTCTGCAAAGCTGTGGGCAGTGGTCCACGGAACTGCCGCAGATTATTTGAATTTTTTTCCTGCACTGTGGTCTGAGAAAAATTGTGGGAACCATTGCTGTAATTGAATAACACTCCAAAATGTACAGACGGCCTCAAAGCATGTGTTTTTTGCTGCGTCGAGGCTCATGATGGCATTTAAACTGGCAGGAGGTGAGCCCCTTGCTTGCAATGGTGGCATGCTTAACCGGGGACAAGCGGCCAGGGGACAAGCGGAAAGAAAAGAAAAACAAGAAGGAACGGCCCCTTGAGATCACGTCACTGCGCCGGGAACTCCAGCACCTGATGCTCAACGACTTTCCCGTTCTACACGAATATCTCAGCAGCACAGCCGCTCTGCTTGGGCACCCTCCCACCCTAAGGGTATTCGGCAGCACCACAATTCATGCCCACATGAAACGGTTGAGAAAATGTGATGTAAGGTACTTTGAGTTGCTGAGGCATTTAAGCACCCTATAAATGTAAATTCTCATCCCTAAATTCTTCATGTGCCATATTCCTTCCCAATGTATCGTCAATAGCATCATCAGCTATGGTCAGTTCACTGCTGAATGAAGGTCACCATCTCTCACGATTTTGCGATATAATATCCTCTAATGCACCGACGATGTTTTCATTTTAATTAAGCGAGTGACACATCTGAAAACGGTTGTTGATTGACGCCAGCAGATGGCGACAGAGGGACAGACGAAGGGCGAGGATCTCTGCGAGTGCTGGCCAGGCTGCGACTGCTGTCCCCTGCTGCTGTGCGGCCTGCACGATGAGCGGAGTGCGGCCGTGATTGCGCGAGCGTTCGAGGCGGCAATGTCAGCCCAAGACTGGGCCCGCGCGTTGAAGCTGCTCGACAGATTCGGGCGCGAGGACGCTGAGTGGGACCGCTTGAGAGATGCGCTTCTGTGCTGTGCTGCTGCAACAGGTACGGTACATGAAGCTATCAGTGGAGTTTGCTTTTGACGGCACAAAGTGCCGCTTGGAAATATTGATAATAGTAGACGCGCACCACGGTGGCAAGACGTTAACTACCTTGTCGGGTATACAGGAGGTTGTGGGTTGGATTCCGACTCCGATGCCTCTATATTGGGAGTATGTATGTTCTCCCTGTGGTCGTGTGGGTTATTCTCCGGGTCCTCCGTTTTTTCCCTGCACATGTAGAAACATGGATTTATAGTATTTGGCTGTAAGAAATTTCCACATGATAAGCCACTTCATTGGGCTATCATTTGTGGCCAGGTCACTTCTGAAAAATAGCTCTATAGTTCAGTGGGCCTTACCTGCTAAAATACAAAATAGTTTAAAATAAGAATAAAATAATAAAATAACAATAAAATTCTCACGACGTTTCGGCCACAACGCAAGCGGCCGAAACGTCGTGAGAATTTTATTGTGTTATTTTATTATTTTATTCTCATTCTACGTGACCTTACCGAAAGAACCAAAGAAGATGCATCCTTGCAGTCACGAAAGCTTTAAATCGAAATTTAGTTTAAAATGGTTTAATGATGGGGAAAATGCATCCTCATTAGCTTTGGTTAGTCGACTGCTTGATAAAGGTCTTCCAAAGCCATCACCATGTAAATATTGTGATGTAACATTGCACACAACATCTGCTATAGAAGTCGATTTATTCACTCAGTGGGGGAGAGTGGAAGGCACAGGGTAAGCTGTTGATGCAATTGTTCAATTTAGGATGACCTCTGAATTCACTTTGGTTTTTTCCACACGAACATTGACGTGAGACCGTCCAAAGTATGGAACTGCGCCTTGCGAAAACTTGTTGCACACTTAACCTTTTTTTCTCTCCGCACTGTTGGAAATGCCCCACCATCCAGATAAAGAGGGCTGGCGATTCTTGCTGATGATGCGAGGGTCTGAGGTGCGTGCTCGGGTGGCTCTGTGGGGCCTGGAGCGCTGGCCGGCCGAGCAATGCCTCGACCTTCTGGAGCTGTGCATGTCCCAAGGTGACACTGCCCCCGACCTCCAAGAGCAGCTCAAGCTCAAGCACCGCGAGATCACGCTCTACAGCACGGTACCCGAGCGTGCGTCGCGTGCATCTTCAGCTCGATGCAAGAGAGTCATCGTCATGATTGTCGTCGGCCAAAAATGTGTCTACCGCTGGATGAGTGTTGCCAACTCTCGTGGGTCCTGCGGTGCAAAAGAGTTGCGATGTGCAGCAACTTTTATGGCAGATCGAAAATTTTGTCAGCCTCACAGTCAAAATTTTAAAGTCATCTTAATGATACATGCAGAGTGTGATATTGAAAGTGTCCATAGTGTTGGAAAATGTGGCTTGTATATGCAACAAGGAGATGGTTTGACGCACAAAACTGAATGCACCATCTCCATCCTAGCACGGAGTCTATTTGCCTGAGCACGTCCGTCACCCAGGTATTTTATGAGCATTTCTCTGTAAACATTAAGTTATTTCTCCATAATATAGGTTTTTGGTTAGATCGCGTAAATATGTGTCGTTAAACCTGTCACCACCTGACACAGCCAATTAGTAAGGTTTGTCACGTAAGCAAAACATGCCAATTCATTACTAGTACAGCACACCGGTGTGTTGGAGAGTAAACCCACAACATTTACAATTCGAGTACAACGTTTTTCTGGTAATTACAACGAGCATAAGGTGACACCCAGAGTTGTGGATAAATCCTCCTGTTTTGGTCTTAAATAGAGGGATAAATGTAATGTCGTCACTTGTGAGCCTATCAGGTAAATAGACCAGCCACTTATTGATTACCCGCAATTTTTAAATGATGACCCTTCATCTAAAATGTACATCCAGAATTGTGGAACTGCCATTCAGTAAATTACAGAAAATTTTGGTTTGTGTTACTGCACTGGCTTCACCAGTCACTGTATTCTCTTGCTTGGGAGCTTGATTGCATTATTATGGCCTTGTCTAAAACCTGATCGTGATGTGCTTGTCTATCATTGTTCAGATACAAAACTTCTCCATTCTTGAAAATTGCACAAGCTGGACCGATGTGGTGAAGGAATCAATTCAAGATCCTGCACGCGTTCTAGAGGGTCTGCTGAAAGTAAAGGTAGACGACCGCTTGTGTTGCGATCGCAATGTCGTGAAATATTTTTTTATTTTATTTTTTACCTACGTGACTTTACTGAAAGAACAGAGTATACATTTATCTTTTGCGTGCTTTTAAGGTGTATCCACTTCATCACGTAATATCATGCTTTTCTGTGCATTACGGTGCTCATCGCCGTTGTTCTTATCCTTGAGATGTTGAGTGCAAAATACGGCTAGCCGGGTTTTATTGTGCATAAATTCTAGTAAATTAGCAATTTAATATTAGGATTTATACCACGTCCAATTGCAAGCAGATCTTCATTTGCACATATTACAGCCAGCATGGATGTGTATTGGTTCTGCAGAAGTTTGCAGTGTGCAGAGAGTGGGCCCAGCTATACAGTGTGGGAGCGGACTGTCTGCTGAAAATCGTGGAGGAGGAGGTGGCCCACTTACTGGAGAAGGGCGACACGGAGCACGCACAGCACGTGAGCCCTCAACTCTGATCATACACAAGCAGCACGCCTGCACGGAAAAATACATGCAGGCAATGCCTGTGCACTTGTGTGTGGTGTGTATTGAAGGGGGGGGCGGTGGTGTAGCAGTTAGCATGCTGCGCAACGAACCTGACGACCAGAGTTAGATTCCTGCTCATGGTCCTGGGCCTCCCCTGGGTCGACTCAGCCTCAAATGAGTACCTGGTTACGATGTGGAAATGACGGCACTGGGGAGGCAAAGGCGACCGGGCGTGGTGCTGGCCACCCACCTCCTCGTGTGACGTGCCGGCCTTCATAGGTGCTCGCTAACAGAACTTGCCCCAACAGTTTAAGGCTAAACAGGAAATGTTTGTCTTTGTGTATTGAACTGATGTAAGGTGTGGTTCACAGCTTCTGGAGTCTCTAGGAGAGGTGCAAACGTGCCAGAGCGTGTGCGAGCGGCTGCTGGAGCAGTTCCGCAGCGTGACGGCCAGTCACTTCCTGTCCGACTACCTGAGCACACACTTCCTGCCTTCAATGTCCCCTGAGCAGAAGAAGCTTACTCAAACCATCTGGATTGGGACACAGGTAAGGGCTTCATACGGTAGTTCATTCATGTAGAATTCATATTAGAGGCTTTTTTCAACCTGAAAATTGACTGATCATGACGGATATATTTTGATTCTAATAATTAATTAATGGATTTGTCATGACCAAATCACCCGGAATGCGCCCAACGATCTCATCAGATGACGGAACCTAAGCGGGGTTGAGCCTGCTGCAGGGCTACATTGTTAGCAGAGGGTAGTGCATTGAAATCCATTGATATATTCTAAAATGCTCCAACCTTTGTGATCCCTGCCTTCACCAACCTACACTGACAAGTATACTCTTTGTTTTTTTTTCCGGTAAAGTCACGTAGGTAAAATAAAATAAAAGAAAACAATTAAATCACGATGTTTCGGAGGCAACACAAGCTTCCGTCTGCTGCATCTTGCTGTGACTGTTCCACCTGAAGATGGAAGCTTGTGTTGCCTCCGAAACATCGTGATTTAATTGTTTTATTTTATTTTACCTACGTGACTTTACTGAAAAAAATATCAAAGAGTATGAATCCTTGCAGTCACGAAAGCTTCAAATCTAGAACTGACCAGAATGTTGAGGTATGGTCAAACAACCCCCATGACCCACATGGTGTAGGAGAGGCCTCATCCAGCAGTGGATTGATAAAAAGGCTGTATATGTACAATTTTAGTGGCTTTACCTCATGGACTTGTGACTTGATTACCTTAGATAATAATGTGGTGAAGAAAAAAACAAGTTAGTTCAGAGCTCGTAAATAATAGATTATGTCTTGAATCCAGAAAACAATGTTTGTGAACGTCGCTCAATTAAACGAACGTTCACATGAGTGTGTGCGTATACTATTGTGTGCACGTGTGTATCTTGCGCTCTGTCTGTTGGCTTTGTGTGCAGCTGTTGCTGGACCTGCCTCAGTCGGTGCACGTGCACTACCAGGAGCTGGTAAGTGCGCCTATGCTGCTGCTGGAGCAGCTGCTGATGAACATGCGCGTTAACTGGGCAGAGGGCGCCGTGCGGACCCTGCGCACGCTGCTCATAGGGAGGTTCGTGGACATCGCGAGCGAGGATGTGGACGTGCTGCTCTCAACGTACGCTAGCAAGGCGTTGGAGTTCCCCTACGTGTCCCAACGATCCCGCAGTCGACAAGGCAAGCGCTGTCGTGCACAGCAACGATGCTCCCAATCAAGACTATCCCTCTCTGTGCCTCCCTCACCCTGCGCCCAGTCACGCTTTCGTTCCTTTTCCCTTGCTCCCCTTCATTGGAACAAACTCCCATTGCACATAAAACAGTCAACTTTACTGACCTGCTAACATTCCGCCCTTGAAACAACCCCATCTCTTCTCCCTTGTCCATCCTACTGCTACTCCCTGCCTCCACTCCCCAGCTACAACCAGGCCAACCTTAACCCCTCCTTTTATCACTCCCACATGTTCTCCTGTCACCATTACTACATCATCTCTTTTAATAACCCCACACTTTATTTCAACCACTATTATCTTATATACAATTTTATAATTGTTGTAAAGCGCCTTGGAATAAAGTGCTTTGTAAACATATATAAGATGAGATCACTTTGACATTGTTATTTCTCTCCTTTATTGTAGAGACGTGTGAAAATTGACAATTTTGGAAGCAAGATGAATTCCGTTGTCATATAATTATCCGAACAGTGATAAAATGAATGCCCTTACCTTTGTGTCATGATGCCAGCACAACAAGGATACTTGCCCATGCTGCCATCTCACAAGCCCTTGTAAAAATGTCTTCCTTTCTTTAGACTCAGATGGCAGCACACCTGACTCTGGAATGTCCAAATTTGGAAGCTCCCCTGAGGCCACCAAGTCTGGTTCCCAAGCCTCAGGTAATATGGTACCTTATTGTATTTAGTTTTTGTTATGGCATTTTCAACATGGTGGACAGAAAAAGGGCAGTGTAGCAAAAATAAATTGTTGTACCATACATCTATACTCCCTACCTTCACAAATCAGTCCTGACCAGCATGGTGAAATGATGTAAAACAACCCTCTCAACCTGCATAGCGAGGTCCTCGTCATGCTAAATTGAAAAATGGGCTGTAAATATACGTGTACAAACCATTTTTCATATCGCCAATCTTGTCCTTTCATCACTTGATTATTGTGCGATTTTCCTTGTTATTTTTCACGTCAAAGGCATAAAAAGGCAAGCGCGTTAAGTGACGAAATATGCGACGAAATAATTTTGTTTGTCATTACAAACATGCCCAATTTGATTTTGACGTCTGCTCTCTCACCACAGATAAAGACGGGTCGAGTCCAGATGGCTCTGTGGGTTCCATACCTGGCCCACGGACTTCCACGCCTGTGGAGAGGAGAGCCAGACTTGCAGTACGGACTAACAGTTGGTCTCCACCGGCCACCATACCTACCAAGAACGATTGGGTGCTGGACGAGAAGGCTCGCGTGTGCATGGCTTGTCAGCAAGAGGCCTTCAGCATGGTACGGGGCGGACTACTGGTGCTTATTGTTGTCGACATTGGCTATGGGTTTTGGCAATCAAGCGGTGAGGAATTAACAAAAATGAGATATTCAGTAGATGTGATTCAATAAATATGTTCTGTAGCTTAGTCGTGGTTTTGGTTTGGCGTGCCCATTTGGTTTTGAGGGCTTCTCTTGTTCAATGCACACTTGTAGCATTTGAGTTTGATCTCTGACCTTTCAGCAAGTCTTCACCACTTTGCACAACCTCAAAGATAACATGGCCTGTGAACTGGCAACCTTACTTTGGTTCTTGGTTTTGGCTAACATCAGTGGCAAGTTATATTTGGACTAGTCTTGGCCCCCAGTGCCTTCACCAACCCACACTAGCCAATGTGGTGAAGTTTGGCCAATCAGGTCTCCATGTCTGGCATGGAGAAGCTGTCATTAAGCAGTGGATTGACAAAGGCCTGTAAATACATATATATTTCATTGTTATTATGGCCTCAAAGCACTGCTGCGATTCTGTCTCTGTGCAGTTCAACAGGCGGCATCACTGCCGCCGCTGTGGCCGCGTGGTGTGCACCAGCTGTTCGAGCAGGACCATGGTGGTGGACACCTACAACTCGGGGCCTGTGCGTGTCTGCTCACAGTGCTATGACTACTTCCACAGTGATGGGTACGGCCTCCCACTCTCTCGCAGGCCCTTTGCTTGCATGTGTATATCACATTACAACACTTTACAAGGCAACATTTTGCAGTCGGGTCGAATAACTTGTAGATTTTAGCCGGGCGGTGGTGGCGGCACTTGCTTGGAAATCCAGCACTGGAGGTGAGGGTTAGCGGATCACACAAATGTTTTAAAACTGCCTTCCCCTGGCTTGCCAGGAGAAGGCAGTACAGCTAAAATTTGCACTGCATTTGTTTCGTCTGTACGGGATAGATTTTCACCCTGCCTTTGCTATTGGATCTATAGAGAGCTGTTTGGTACTTTTATATTTAACAAGCATCTTTTGTCTTGTGTGTTTGATGTTTTACAGACCTACTGAAGGTGAATCTCCAATAGAAGGTATGTTAATGTTCAATAAATAAATATGTTAATAGTTGAGTAAAATATATTGATAACACATAAAGCAGTCACTAAAAAAAGTGTTGATTTTACTGCATAGTTATCTCCCTGCTCAGTGATTCACTCGTAATCAAGTTAATTTCAAACAGAAATATTTGTGTGACTTGCTCCATTTAGTGGTAATCAACAGATCATAAATCACAAAATACTAAAAAATTTCAGTGAAAAGAGCGATTTGTGAGCAAGATGCATTGTTACCCTTAACTTGGCTCGGTTCTGGATCAGAAGCCTCTCATAAATGCTTTTAGAGCAGTGTTTTGTGGGTAAGCATTGGGGGATCGAACACACTAGCCTGCAAGTTGTAAAGTGGCCAGGAGATGGCAGGAGGTGACAATGAGTATGAGTGTTATTCACTCATTCGTTCGTTCCTCGGTTCGCTTAGCATGTTGAGTAGGGAAGTCCAGACCTCCATTTCCCTGGAGACAGACTCTAGCTCTTCCTGGGGAATTCCCAGGCGTTCCCAGGCTAGCTGAGCGACAGTCCCGCAAGCGTGTCCTAGGCCGGCCCCGGGGTCTTCGCCCAGTGGGACGTACCCGGTAGAGTTTCAGGGGAAATCTACCAGGGGACATCCTTACCAGATGCCCGAACCACCTCAACTGGCTCCTCTCGATCCGGAAGAGCAGTTGCTCGACTCTGAGGCTCTCCCGCATTACCGAGCTTCTCACCCGATCACGGACAGTGAGCCCGGCAACCCTGCGGAGAAACATCATTTTGGCCCCATTCATCCTTTTTTTGGTCATTACCTAAAGTTATTCACTCATGTGTTGTGAATTTTCTCCAGGTATTCCGATTTCTTCCAACATTGAAATCGAATGTAAAAAAAACAATATGATTAAACTTCCCAACATATGGTCTTCCTGAAATAAAGCCTAAAGACACCCATTGGGGCTTTGTCATATAAATAAAAGTCATTATTGTTATTAAAGTGCACCACAATTGTTGTCTGTAGGTGAACCAGGGCAGGAGGAGGTGACAGACTCGCCACTCCAGATTATTCTGCAAGCGGTAGAGGACAATGTGTGGTCTATGTCCTTGAATACCTCCACCAGTCAGCGCATTCGTGAGGAATTCTACTACGATCAGGTACCCCCGCCACTGTTTTTAGCTCTTGATTCACATTGCGTTTCTTTCAAGCTTTCTGACAAATTAATTTTACTTTTTAATAAGGAAAAGAGGCAGTTTTGTAGTGGTATAAATGAAATTATCCAATCCACTAGGCATAACGGTGTAGTTTTTTGTGTATGTGTGCTAAAAATCATTCTTGTGTTTTTAGGTTGTACCGCCTATTTGTTCCGTTTAATGTCAAATGTTTTTCTCCACGGGCTGGGAGCTTCTTTGAATTTCGTTCCAGAAGAAGCTTCCAGCACGTGGAGCTAAACATCAGACAGTGCCGAAACAACGCGCGGTAACAACCCGAAAACACATCAGGGGGGTCCTTTGCTTGCCGACTTCCCACTCCAGCATTGATCGACTCTCGCCCACGGCTATACTGTAGTGGAAAGGATAATTCTTGCCTTGCTCGTCTTGTTAATGGAACGGTAACGTTGTGCCCCGTGGCTCAGGCGCCCAGCGCGTCGCTGTGTGTGGCCCTGCTGAAGCTGCACAGCAACACGGTGCAGTGCAGCCACCAGCTGATCGAACACTGCCGCGAGCTGTCGCTCACGCTCAATGAGCCCGAGGTGGACAGCGTCCTAGTCATCGGCATCATGCGCAACCTGCTCTTCAACGCCAAGATGATGTTCTCCTCCGCTGGCCACAGCCAGGACCTCGGCGTCTGTGACAGGTCCGTGGTTTAATGTCCTGTCTCGTTTACATGCTTGCAGTGCACTCGGATGAGCGTCGGAAGGAACCCGCCTTTGGAGCAGAAGCATGTTTATTTAAATTAGAACCCAGTTTGCTCCACAACAGCAAGATTAGTTTTTGTATTTCCATTAAGCAATGGTGCTTCCATAGAGCAATTGCCCATAGTGTACATACTTAATGAAGGGGCGATGTATGACTAGGGAATCGATTTACATGTATAGCCTGTTTATCAATCCACTGCTGACACGTTATAAGACTCCTTATAAGACTCCTTATAACGTGTCAGCAGGTTCACCATACTATACTTCTCCATGCTGGACAGTGCGGTTTGGTGAATGCGGGTAGTATAAAGACATGCTGTACAGCAATGGATGCACCTGATGATTTGCTAGTCAAGCACTCCAAGCAGGCTTAAATCTGCTTAGCTTCCAAGATCTGATGATGTTAGGTGCATCTTGGGAAATTTGGTCATGTGCTTGAAATTGATATCAAGGGGTTAAAGCGCAGGCCTTGGTGGTGACTTGTGGAAGTGTACATGCCGTCTCGCTCGCTGTTTTCGCAGCTACATAAGCCGCGTTGACGTGCTGAAAATCCTGGTGTCGGCAAGCTACCGGCTCATCCCATCCCTGTACGACATCTTGCGTCCCAGCGCTGTCACGAGACTGCGCGATCAGCTGATCCAGGACGAGCGATACCTCCTCGCGATTGAGGTCAGTCCGGCTTGAACACTTGGTCCTAAACAACAACCCTTCAGTGGCAAGCGCTCTTGTCTGAGCAAAGTATGGATTTTAAACTACGTGAAATGATATTTCAGCCTTAAAACTGATCAGTCGTGTATCCTAACCATCAGATGTTTTATAATGCAAATAGTTGTTTTAGTTGAAATTTTAATACAGAAAGTCACATTTCAAATACTCCACATTTTGTTTTGTTTTTTCATTGAACTTGACTTTGCTTGAAGAAAGTAAACTAACATTACACCTAAAACCTGCTTGTTAGAGTAAATATGTTTATTTAAGCCAGCACACAGTCTACTCACCTCTGATTAGCACGGTTGGCTATATACGGTGCAAAATAAGTTTAACATACATATAGTATGTGACGCAAAGGCTCATATTTGGAGACGTGGAATGGAGTTCTGCTTATATTCACTATTTACCAAATGCCATTTTACTACGGCACGCTTCGCTTTGTGGCTATAAAACCCCAGCGCACTATAATAATGACGAAACAATATTTAGCCTGTAGTGTGACACTTGTTACTTTATAGTCCCGTTCCTAAAGCTCTGTGCTAAATGCATTGAACATGCGTGCCAAACCATGTTGTGCCATTGCAGGTTTCGACCAAGTGTGGGCTGGACACGAGCGGGGTGTGGAGTGCCTGGGGCATGGCTTGCATGCGTGCGGGCTGCCTCTCCTCGGCTCGGGAGAAGTTTTCCCGTTGCATGAGGCCACCGCCAGACCTGAACCAAACGTCGATGGGTTCCACTGTCCTGCAGGAAGTTGTGCAACACCTGGAGAGCATCATGCCGGGCAGTCTGTCGATGGTGGGCAAAATTCATTTCTGTCGCTTTGTTTTTGTAATTTCTGCTCCGTTCTATGTGGAGGCAACCTGCCCGAGCCCTCTTGTGCTGCAGGGAAAATATGTTTTTGATCATTTCAATTCCTCATGTGAGAAAGTTGTTTTGGGTTTTTTTTTCTTATTACTCTTTGTTTTTTTAATGCCATTATTGTAACCCAGGTCAGTCTTGTAAATGAGACTATCCTGGTCTCTTTGAGTTCTCACCTGGGTAAACAAAATATATTTAACTTGAAGTCCCCCATCACAATGAATCCGAAATGACCACATCTCTCCACTCAGTGCCATATGAATGTAAACAATGCGCTCCTAATCTTGTGATATGGATCTTCAAATGTTATAACAGGTGGTGCTCCATTATCTTGAAGCATATTATTGGTCCTGTTAGCTCCATCTTATAAATAACATTTATAAATGGCAATTCACATATTGTGATTGAGTATAACTGTTATGATTATGAAAAAGCGAATTATGGTGGGTTACTTTTGCAATTTTTACACCACAGCATTCACCTATAGCTGTTACTTTCCCACAGGGTCGTGAATGACCGTCATTCTCATGGGCAAAGGGTAAACCTACTACGTAATGTTTTGTGCAACATTGTTTGATAACCTGTAGCAAACGGCTACAAGAAACGTGGCTAAACCCAAAAAGGAAGTGTGAAATCACACGTGTGCGTTTGAGAAGACAAATTTTACAAGACTCGTATCGTATACAGATGTGTATTGTTGATCATTCTGGGCATTGGTAACATCGATGTTTGGCGCGAATGTTGTGAATACCGGCTGTTGGGCAGGACGACGACGTGATGGCTTCGCTCAACGAGCTGGAGTTGCTGCTGAAGGTGGAGGGCTCTCCTGTTGTTGCGCCGCATTCTCCCAAAGCCCCGCCACGGGACACGCGGCTAGAGGAGTGCCTCTTTTACCTCCAGCATTACGGGACGTACCTGGCGCTCGTCAGCTTCTACGGTCGACACAGCCGTTACCACGAAGCCCTCACCTTTCTGCTCGAAAAGGTGCTCATTTTTTTTTTATTCGCGTTTATATAGATAGTTTGTGTACGGTGTTCATGGGTTAGATTTTCTACCCCTGATTTCTTTGAAACTTTGACAATGTTAGAGCTAATAATGTTTCGGGTTACCCTCAATTTGCTCCCCTCTCCCGTGTATCCCCACCCCAACTTCACCCGGCTCAAACCCCTTGAGTGCTTCTTGTTTCGCCTTCCCCAGTAATGTTTCTCACTCACAAAGCAGCTGTTGTATTTAGATACCAATTCAATTTCAGTTGTAATTGTAAATAATAGTTTCTAGCAGTATTAAAAACGTCAACGATATCATCAGGTGGCTGTTTAATTCTTGCTTATAGTCTCTTCCAGGATTCATGTGTGCAGCAAACATGATGTGGCTTCTGCTCTTTGTACAGAACTGCGCAGAGCACGTGTTTGTAGAGGGCCTGCTCGTGCCCTGCCTGGGCAAGGGCCAGCTTGATGTGCTGGAGAAGCATCTGGAGGAGCTGGATCCCAGCCTGCAGCGCTGGAGAAAATACCTCATAGCGGCCTGCAAATCTATGGACAACAAAAACATGCCCAATGTGCTCTATGCCCTGCAGTGCTTCATGAAGGTGGGCCCTCAATTTGATTTGTGTCTCCATGTTCATTCTTTGGCATTCGGCATAATGTTCCATACCACCATCTCTGGATGTAGCTTGACCACACGATAGTCATTTGCAGAATTCTTTGCAGTGTGTGTGTGATACGATGCGGTCGTGTAGCAGGTCACGCGCTGCGCTATGAACCTGGTGACCTGAGTTCGATTCCTGCGGCCAACACCAGTGACGATTATATTTATCTGAACCAGTTCTGGGCCTCCCCTTGGTCGATTCAGCCTGAAATTTGTACGTGGGGCGGTGTGTAAAACATCGCCACTGGGGAGACAAAGGCGTCAGGTGTGGTGCTGGCCACCCACCCCCCTCGTGTACCGTTCTGGCCTTCATAGATGCTCACTAACAGCACTCGCCCCAACAGTCTGTTAAGGCTATACGGGGGATCTTTGTTTCGTACCGTCTGTCGATGGCGGATGAACGATAACTCTGAGCCTCCCCTTACACAGGACAACGTGCGAGCAGCGATGACGTGTATCAACTTCTTCAGAAAAGGTGCAAACTCGTACGCTGAGCTTGCCACGCGACTGGATTTCCTGGAGAGGGCCAAGAACCACCTCAATGTTGCACTGAGTGAACAGCAAGTGAAGGCACCGACGAGTGGACCGGCTGTCAGTCGCATCTTGCCCGGCTCCTCATCCACTCCGAGCCAGAATGCACCTTTCACTCTCAAGATGTCCAAAATACAGCTGTCAAGGTTTGTACCTTGATAATAATTGCACGTTGTCTTACATGCTGCATCGTTATTATTTTACGCCTACTGATTTCATAAAAGATGTTCTGCTTGTGACTTTAGAACTAAACATTAACTGTAAGATGAGCATTACACCAAACATTTGCAAAAAATCATTCCAAAATGCAGTTTTGTACTTGTGAGACGTGGTAATCTGACCTGAAGAGCAGACAGAAACATTAAATCAGCAGAACTAACAGAGCTGTATAACACCACTTCACGGCAAGTCGCAAAGCATCAGATGTTAACGGAGAGTGCAACATTGCACGTTTCGACAAGCTTCAGAGAGAGAGAGAGAGCGGGAATCACATCCATTACAGAAAATGGACAACCGTGGATACATACAGTGCAAGCAGGTCCCCCACTAAGCACCAACTCGGATGACTCGTACAATTGTTTTTATTAAACACAGAATTTTTTGCGCTTGCAGGAACATACGCAGAATTGAGCTGCAGGTTGAGGTGACCCGCTTTCTGAGCCAGTACGATACAGCGAGGGCGAAACCTCCGCCCACCCTATTTGACGACAACAACGTGAAGAGCGAGGTCGCTGGCCTGGTAAGCCCAGGATATGCGTCCCGTTTCACACCCACTGCAGCGTTGCACACTGCGCACACCGAGTGATTGTGGAATGTGGACCTGTGTTACGTTCCTGAGAGATTAATTTTGATTGTGAATTAACATGCAACATTGACTGAACTATTTGGACGGATTAATAGATTACCTTTATATAGGAAGTGAAGGTCAACATATTTATGCATGTCAAGAAAAAATGTCTATAAATATTAAGTACAGTGGTACCTCCGAGATCGAACTTAATTAGTTCCAAAACCGTGTTCGAACACCCATTCGTTCGAACACCGAATCAATTTTCCCCATAAGAATGAATGGAAATAGCATCAATTGGTTCCCCACCTAAGGATGGTCCTATTATGGGCCATTTTTACACAAAGTTTACAATATTAAAATACAGTACAGTACATAAAAGCATACAAAAAACAAGAAAACACAGTTATAATTAATAGAATAAATGAACATTGAACTTCACTTTACCTGTAGTAAGGAGAGTGGATGGCTTGAGTGGAAGGTGGTGAGGAGGGGAGGAGGAGGTGTCAGTGTTGCTTGGAAGGGGAGTTTCCCTCCATAAACACGTTGGGTAACTGCCCTTCTGGGGTTCATTCTTTTCTTTGCCTTTTTTCGAGCACTAACTGTGATTCACTTGAGGGCCTTTTTACTAAAAACTGATCAAGAGAGGATTGTTTCTGCCTCCGTTTTAAAGTGTTTCTGAAATGACTCGATGCATTTTCATTAAATTAACGAAAAAGTTAACAATGTTTTGCGGGTCTGCACTGGGCGAGAGCTACGCATAAACTGGGTCATACGCCTTTGTCTCGGTCGCCCTTGCTATGCATCTCGGCCCATACAGGTTCTTTCAAGTTGTTCGACCTCCGAATTTTTGTTCGATGTCCGGGGCAAAAAATGGTCGAAAATTTTGTTCGATCACCGAATTGTTCCGAGTTCTGGGTCATTCGATCTCCGAGGTTCTACTGTATACGCTTTTAAACTATTTGTAAAATGTCTCGCTAAATTTGTTTAGACGTCTTGTAACATGAGCAATTATGCCTTTGACTGCAGTGTTCGTTTTATTTCCTGGGCATTTGTTATTTTCCAGGACTAACTCTTGCGTTTGTGCCCTCTTAACCTGAGCTCATTTGGATTTCCTGCGTGCAGCTGATGCTCTCTGGTGGAAACGTGGAGGTGGGATTTGGAAATGCCTTCCGAATTATACAGGTTTGCTACCGGTGGCCGAATTACACATTGTGGTTTATGCACACATGGGAGCAGTGCAGCACGGTTTGGGGGCGTTTCTCCCACTGTGCTTAGCGTTTTTAATACTTTTCTTTTTAGTTTGGCTGTTGGAGCCTTTGGCATTTATGTAAAAATCCTTAATTTGTGTGGTCAGTCGGCCGTGACTTGCAACTTCCGTCGACTCACAAATCTTACATCTCCTGGTTGCAAAGATATTTCATAATTTACTTGAAGTAATTATTTTTTAAAAAATTGTGTGATTCATTTGCCGACTTGGTGCTTGACACATCTAACGTCAATCACTTCCCACACCCCACTCATGTGGTGTTGCCACACGACAGACGTTCCTCTTTTCTATGGTAGCCTAAAATGGGATGTTTTTAAGTTGACATTTTTTAAAGTCTGCAAGTTTACGCATGTTGCAATTACAGTTCAAGGGCTACTTTTTTGTTTAGACCTTACATTGTAGGCTATGTGTGGATAAGGATGAGTGGGATATAGAGATATATACATATGTAAAACACAACAAATATATTAGTAGCTATGTGAGAGAAAGCGAGGTAATTGGCACTTAATGTAAAAATGAAAACGCAACTTAGTGATGGGATTTGTGACTATTCAGTGCTTCTGTGTACCATGTGGTTGGTGCATACCTGTATACGTTGGTCTCTCGGAATGCCGGTCTTGCTTGACTCCAACGTTTACATTGCACCTACATCCTGCCTCGATCCCATTACCAAGGTTTCTCATTCAAAAGAGATGAGTGCCATTGGGCCGTCATCCTCTTTCCAAGGGCATTTTGGCAGAAGGTTTTATTCAGGGTGCACGTGCGAGCGTATGTGCATGCGTCTGTGCATGTGGTGTTGTAGGAGTTTCAGTTGCCGGCGCTGACGGTGTACACTCGGGTGGCGAGGCGCCTAGTGGAGGAGAGGCAGCTGCACGAGGTGGAGACACTACTGCGTAATGTGTCCGAGTCCGGTTCGGCAGATCCCAGTGACTGCGACTCGATTGCCCTGGACACGGTCCGCGCTGTGGCCGCCGCAACCGCAGCACAGCCTGGCACGGGACAGCTGCAGGTGCGTGTGTGTGTGTGTGTGTGCGCGAGTCAGGCTTGGCAAGCAAACTCTTGCCGTGGTAACCCTATACAGAGCCCTTTTCCGAACAGTGTGCTGTTTATAGCCGCCCATGGGGCTATTCTTGGTTTTCTACCTTAGCTTGACAGAAACTCTGCACGCTAGGCATATGATACTGTAGGTGTCGCTCCTGTATGGAGTGGCTTTATCAAGTGTTGCGGCTACACTATTTGTGAGCTGTGACAATTTGTACAATCCTATAAACCAATAAAAAAACTTGTTTACTCTTAAGAATTTGAGTGATGTATGCATCAATAACTATTTATGAAGAAATTAAGTTATACTGATCATATTTTACATGTTATATTTAAGGTAAAGGAGATTGAAAATCTGATCATGAAGATAAAGAATAATTCTGCGAAGGTACCCACACATTTCCACACAATATGCCATGTTTCATTTGCTTATTTTATGACAGCGTTTCAAGGTCATGTTTTAACTCCACATCTTACGAATCCTGATAACGTACGTTCGAGTGTTCACCATCACCTTTGTGCAATGAGCATCCTGCCGACCCGCGCGTTGACCTGTGCTGCAGATTGAGGCCCACCTGCTGTGTGGAAAACTGCGTGCTGCTTACCTGGTCGCCGTGAAGCTGCCGAGTAGGGATGCATCACGCTGGGTGGAGACGATCCGCAAGCGAGCCGCTGAGCTGGAGCAGGCTGTGATGGTGGAGCTGTGCGAACGATGGCTGAGCACCCACGGAGACACGGCCCCGCCGCCTGGCCAATCCAAAACCTGAATCTTCGCAAAGCAATGACTGCGAGTCGCCGCTCTATTCGTGTTACCCACACTAATGTAAAATTACCCCCGCGTGCATTTCATTTTCCCGTCACAAGCTCCCTTGTTTTGTAAGAACTGACGGGCGGTGCAGGGACAAGTGGAACCTACTTCCATTTCACTTGCCAAAGTTAGTTTTCCGTAAAGTGAACTGTTTAGAGGCCTCCATTGTCATGGGCAATGATTAAATGGTGGCTTGTTGTCATGTGTGCCTCTTGTGCTGACTGTGCCGGGCCAAGTAATGAGTGCACCCTGGTTATATTTGCCCCATACTATCCTTCAGGGTTATCAGTAAGTGCCCTTAATAGGTCTGTTTGTGGTTATTTGTTTCTCTGTGACCCTTCCCTCTCTTTGACACTCATTTGTTTCAATAGCTGGTGGTGGTGTTAGATAAATGCTAAGTCAACTTTCTTGGCTTTGGGCAAAATTGGACGCTGCCTGATCTCGGCAGTTTTGCAGGCATGCACAAAAGGCTGAATGTGGAATGCTGCACTTTATTCTCGCTTGAATTAACATTAGGATCTTGTTTCAAGAGTCCTGTGCTGTAATCTTTGTATCGTTAATCTGTGGAGCACATGCACCACATTGTGCTCCGAAAGGCCATTAATGGATGCAAAGGGACAATAGTTTCATACTTACCGACTCGTGCTCCTGCACCGGCGGTTCTGGGAGACAACCCGACAGCCGTATCGGTGGTGGAGTCATTTTTATAAATGTTAACAATATGTTATTGCCAAATTATACAAATGTGTTTTGATAAACCTCGTTGCTGACTGTCACTGCACGGTATGTTACTTTAAATTCAAATAGTGAGATGAATGTATTTTTCTGAAGTTTTGTAGACTTTATACATTTCAACTGCAGTTGAGCCTTGAACGACTATATCCGAAGGTGCTCCGAATAGACCGCTTTGTATTTTAAGGTTAATTTCTTTGACCTCACTCCTGAATTAGAATGCATATTTTACAGGTATTAGATGACGCTGGCCTGTACTTGATCACTCTCTTTGGTCATCTTTTGTAATGTACAGCAGAGTGGTTATTTATTGCATATTCAGGGATAACGTTTTCACTTTAGCCGATAATGTACAATTAGATCAGGACACGCAATGCCAATGTGATTGCACACAATTCTGATAAATTATGTGAGGTGGTTCTTGATAAATCTTTGGCCACTAATAGCTTTTGAGTAAGTGAAATAGATGTAACAAAGGGCATTACTGTGCAATAGCCTTCTTTGTAAAGGTTAACAAGCTGTTAAAGCGAGAACGTTAAATGATTGTTGTCTTGGAAGTTGGTGTTCTGCAAGGGTTTAGTATACGCTTTCTTTTTGGGTACACGAAGCCATTCGTACCAAGGAATATTGTTTTAAGGTTAAACCAGGGAATGACGAGGTCAAAATAATAAATGTATTTCACGCATTACATTGGCTTGAATGATTCACGTTAATGGTTCAGTGGTTTAGTGTTTATCGTAATGAAACGCCTATGTGCACTAATAATTATCCCATTGGAATATCCATAAATTTGAATATTAAAAATAGAACATCTCTCTTAACCTCCTGGATGTAGCCTAAGGTCGCAGACAGTAGGGGTGGAGCTGTAGTGCAGCGGTGAGTGTACTGCGCGCTATGGACCCGGTGACCCGAGTTCAGTTCCCAGCCGTGACCAACAATGAGTGGCGATTAATATCTGAACCTTGACTTAAAGCTTTCGTGACTGCAGCAATTCATATTCTTTGGGTCTTTCTGTAAAGTCACGTAGATAGGTTCAAAGAAGCGGTCATCAGGGGTTACCTTCTAAAGGCAAACTGTTTATAAAGGTTTAAAATGGGCGTAGCCCAAATGTCAGCAGCATGGGTTGGGCAGCTAATGTTAATGTAAGTGATGGGCTGCGATCGCGATTGGCGGTGGGATTCCACCAATTAAAGGGCTGCCAGGTAAAAATTAGCATGTTAATGTAAGATCATTGAGCGCCCTCCACGGCGAGCGCGCTGAGGTGGCTATGTTAATGTGAGAGATTAGCATGTTAATGAGGGATCGCAGAGCCACTGCCACATCGAGGTACGACACGCGAAGGTGGCTGTGTTGGTGTGAGAAATTTTACCTGTTAGTGTAAACCCATCTTCTCGGTTGAAATTGTCTATATATGGATGGCTTCATGAACAAATCTTTGATAGCCAGTGGGTTTGCAAACCCACAACAAAGATTCGTTCATGAAGCCATTGATATATATATACCAGACACAGACACAATTTCAACCGAGAAGATGGGTTTACATTAACAGGTAAAATTTCTCACAACAACACAGCCACCTTCGCGTGCCGTACCTCGACGTGGCAGTGCCTCTGCGATCTTACATTAACATGCTAATCTCTCACATTAACATGCTAATCTCTCACATTAACATAGCCACCTCAGTGCGCTTGCCGTGGAGGCCACTCACCGATCTTACATTAACATGCTAATTTTTACCTGGCAGCCCTTTCATTGGTGGAAACCCACCGCCAATCGCGGTAGCTGCCCATCACTAACATTAACATTAGCTGCCCCACCCATGCTGCTGACATTTGAGCTACGCCCATTTTAAACCTTTATAAACAGTTTTCCTTTAGAAGCTAACCCCCTTTTCCTGATGACGACCGCTTGTGTTGCGATCGAAACGTAGTTTTTGTTATTTTCTATTTATCTACGTGACTTTACCGAAAGACCCAAAGAATATAATATCTGAACCTGTTTTTCCTCCGTCACCAGTCCCCTTCAGTTTATATTTGACCAGTGTAGTGAAACATGGTCAAACCACCCCCATTACTGACAAGATGCAGCGAGACCTTCATCCAGCAGTGAATTGACAAGGGCTCTACGGATTTGTTTTTTGCTTTAACTGTTGCACTGGGCATCTGGTAATGCTGGCATATGATTTATACAGGATTCTTAGTATCGTGGGAATTAGCTGTGCTCTTGGTTGTTGGGCTTTCATGTGAGGTATGAACATTATTTTGTTTGTTATAAATCTAGTGTTTATGAATTGTCTTCGTCTTTATAACAAATGTTTGATTTACAAATTATTAAATGCTGCTAATTACAGTTGGTAGAACTTATGACAAAACGCTTTTCAAAAAGGGAATTCATAGTTAAGTGTCGCATTGGGAAATAAGTATTTAAGTTCAGTAATCTGTTTGCATGAGATACGTTAATACAGTAGTGATAAAAAAATCTAATTTTTTTCTTATTTTTGAAAAATGTTGCCACTAAGAATGTAAATTTCTTTAACATATAAGTATTTTTGTAAGACACTTCATGGCAATGTATCGTGCACACTTATCTGTCCGGAACAAATTAAAGATGGTGTACTTTTTGATTTAAAGCTTTCGTGACTACAGTAATTCATATTCTTAGCTCTTTCGGTAAAGTCACGTTGAAGGGAAACAATAAAAGAATAAAATATATATAAAACAACGTGACTTTACCGAAAGAGCTAAGAATATGGTGTACTTTGTTGATATATTGCACTGGCGCTATTTTTATTTACTGGTGCCGTGTATTATTGTCATGGGTGCTCGGAACTTAATAAAACAACATCTGGGGCTGCGTTGGCAGTGGTGCTTAAGAACAAATGAACAAAAAAAATGCCCTGGCAACGTTAGCTTATTTTTATTCTCTTGCAAGGCAACAATGAATGAATGCGGGCATTTTTATAAATACAAATGTAATAATGGAGTAACCCACGCTTAGTAATCACATCAACATCTCATTAGGAAGCCTACCTTAAATGTTTTATTGTTGTAATGGAAACATTTTATCTCGTATATCCTCTAACAAAAGGCACTCCCAAAATGCCATTCTGTAATTTCCTATTTTATTAGCATTTCTTACAAATTAACAGTGTGTGCGCATTACAGCATCAACAACCATTTGCAAACATGGGTATTATTGTCTTATTACTGTGAACCTTATTTCATAATTTAAAATAAAATACACTAATTGATGCAAACAGAGATGGCTTTTCCATTAAATAAATATATTTTATTGTATTAATATTCAGCAATTTCACATGTTTAATGCTCTAACATATAAAACTCACTTGAGTGCACACCAAGACAGACAAAAACAACAGTAAAAACAATTATTCCTGAGTTTGAATTAATTTCAAACCTCATTAAAAGCATCTGCTCTTTTAATGTTGTTTGCTTATCGTTTTAAAGAATTTTACAAACAATTAGGTGTTTATCTAAAAAAAAATCAATCTCACACTGCACTGAAAAAGGTCAAGATACTTGACAAAGTAATTTAATAAATACTATTTCGCACAAAGAATTTCCAAAAAGCACATTTTCAAAACCTCACTCGAAAGCTGGCATTGCCTTTAAATCAGCAAGATTGTCATTTATATAAGCATTGAAAAACTGTCTATTGTTAGATAGTTTTACACTCTGCGTTTATGCTAAGCTGCGATCAGATTTGCTTTTGACACCAATGGCGATATGCTGCAGCATTTCGTCCCGCTCAATAGCGGAGTAGTCTTGTCCAGGCAAGGTCTGCAATGAACCAACGGTGCGAGGTCTATCTCTGAGAAGCAAATCTTAACCATGAGAAATGTGAATATTTTTCATGTTTACTGGAATTTATTCTGTCCACATCTGTTGGTGAGATATGTTTGTTGCGTGAGAAGTCAAGCTCATTCGTGATGGGGCTGAGGCCATCAACTCGGTATGTTTGAACCTGGTTTTAATCCCTGGCGGTTGCCCATATTCGAACCGAGCATCTCGCTAGCCACCAGCTCTACCCTCTGACCTCTGAGCTACCCAATGCAGAATTGGCGTTTGTGCGCTTGCCATTTGTTGCACGCACGCAGTCGATCCATTTGACAGGGCCTGTTCATGTTACACAGTGGAAGACAATTATGTCGGGAGGTTGGACCCACCGAGCCCACGGCCCATTTCATGCTCCCCGGCAGAGGGGAGTGGAGGTTACAACGACAGCTCCTGCTCTGCCAGATCGTCTGGCGTGGCCCCACTGACGGGCGAGGGCAGCGTGTAGCCCAAGCTGTAGGAGCCCTCGCGCGCGCGCCCCAGGCACGACAGCACCACCTCCAAGCCGAGCTGCACCGTAGCATTCACCGCGTCGGTGCTGGCGCCCAGCAGTGGATTCACCTCCACCAAGTCCATCGCTGACAGGCAGCCTGGATAAAGGTAAACGCACACAATTGTGAGATATTTGGGACCATAAACATTCCATTTGTGCCTCTACAATGTGCCTTTTCTCATCAGTTCTCGGCTTGGAAACTAAACAGGGTTTAGCCTTGTTTGCACTGTACTCGCTTCAGCCACTGCCTGGGAATGTGTTTTAAATTTGGCCATTGAGGTGATCAGGAGATGATAGTACATCAAGGGGCTCTTGTGTCCTTCTGTGTGGAGCTTTTGAGTGTTACGCCCTTAATGTAATTTTTATACCAGATCCTTTCGCTTTACCTGGATGAAGTGCATCTTTACTATTGATTTAAAACTTTCGTGACTGCAGGAATCCATACTCTCTGGTCCTTTCGGTAAAGTCACGCAGATAGAAAATAATAAAATAAAACACGACGTTTCGGTCTCAACACAAGCGTTCGTCTTCAGGTGTGAAAAAATGATCTGCTGTTGTGGCTTTATATAGGCAGGGAGGGGAGAGGGAAGGGGGGGGAAAGGAGTTTGGCGTTGGGAGTTCACAGGGGAGAGGGTTTGTGGCGTCCATGGACGGGTGGGGCTAGAGAAATTAGCAAGTACATGGACTTATAGTACAAGTCGTAACCGGTTGTCGTCGTCCTCACTCACCCGCCCGGTTGTCATCGTCCGATTACGACTTGTACTACAAGTCCATTTACTTGCTAATTTCTCCAGCCCCACCCATCCCTGTGAACTCCCACAGCCAAATTCATTCCCCCCCCTTCCCTCTCCCCTCCCGTGCCTATATAAAGCCACAACAGCAGATATTTTTTTCACACCTTAAGACGGATGCTTGTGTTGCGACCGAAACGTCGTGTTTTAATTTATTGTATTACTTTTTCTATCTACGTGACTTTACCGACAGAACCAGAGAGTATCTTTATTTTTCTT